CTTATTATTAACTAAAGGAGGATGTCGTATGCTGATCTACAGATGTGGTAGTGGCCACAGATATGAGTCGTTCTGATCTGTATGACAGCAATGTGCATTTTTTTACTGCTCGAGAATTAATCTTTAATCTAGATCCTTAATAAAAAAGGAAAAGTATGTGTTGTATAGATCTAATTTTGAGAAACGCTCCTGCTCCGACCATCTACAATGCTGCCAACCTTCTTTTCAGGATGCTGCTCCATGAGTCTTACAGAAATTCGTAAGATATCTTACAGGTCAGCTTGTCGTATGGGTCCTAATCCTCCAGATCTTTTAATTCACTTCTCGCGGATATATCACTTATCTACCTCACGATAATCTTTTTATTTACGGACTACTATATTCTATTTGATGTTAACTACCTAGACTATTATTAAAGCTACGATTTACTCTTTGTTCACATTTGCTGCTTGCCCAAAGTCTGGTTGCTTTGATAAAAACCATAGCGAGACTAATATTTGAGCAAGGCTACATTTTCATCGAAAATGCCATAGTCTCCATGCTAAGACCAATATGGTTAGGATTAAACATTGCAAATGTGTACCATCACTCTGCGGGGTCTCCACCTCCTTCTTGTATATATCTTGTAAATTTAATTTCAATGATGTATTATCCATAATTGTATTTTATGACATTTTGCAGTTTCCCAGGGCTCTCTTCTCTTCCCGAAATAGCTCTGACGTGGCAGCATAGCACACCCAAATATGTGCTGTTCATCTGTTGACTGTAGCTATCGGCAGGAAACGGAACGGAGTCTGGGTTGTCGCTCAACTTCGATGGTGTACTTAGTGAAGGGTTTACAACTTAACTTAATTATGAACCCGTTATGGTTGCTTGTACGATAGTCGAACAATTTAAACTTATGAAAAATCAATAATTTATCACACTTCACAGTTGTAATTTATAACACAACCGATAGTGCTTGTAAAATTGGCATGCATTTCTTTTAAACACCAGTTCATGCGAAATATAAATAATTATTATTGATTAATCACTAGTTCTACATAACCTGCATCAGGGAAGTAAACTGAAGAACCTTATCTGATGAAACAGATTCCGAGGGAGTCGTAGTAGACTGAATATGATTAGTAACAAGTAATTCTACACTGAGTGAGAGCACTAGACGAGGTTGATTAATGAATTTATCAAGTCTGTAGAAATCTTGAATCTATGAACTACTCCAGGCAGAAGATTTTATTCAAAAGTCATTATATTTCCATAGAACCCTGAAGAGCAAATCAATGACCATATAACTGTGAACAATGTTTAACGAGATTTGTAGGCGTCCACATATCAAGATTGTTAACAAGGAAAATTTCTGCTTCCTCAAATAGTTGGCCGCACAGTAAAACTCTTTTCTGTTTTAGGCGAACTGGTACTTTTAAATGGCTACGAAAGAGGAATGATATTATTATTTTCTGTAATTTGGCTATGAGATTATTTGTGATGAACGCTTCTAAGCTTATCTGGCGTATAGAGCGATGCATTCAGTTAATTCCTTGGTTTTAAATATTTTCACTATTGCTGTTCCACTAGCAATTACTAGAAATTCCATTAGTCAGGTCACAAAATGGTAGTGAAACAGAATAAGTGATTATTATTCAGGGTAATGATCAACTAAAAGAGACTGAGACTTAAAAATTCCACACATAAGCGTACATGAAACAAATTCTATGAAAATCCTGAACTTCGTGCAATCGCCTCACCAAATTCCTTGAAACTCAGTCCACATTTCAGAGTGAGGCAACTTTTCTTTGTTTCTTCAGTAATAATTTGAATATAAGTGTTAAAATCACCTTCTGACTCACTTGAGTAAGTACCCAGTAGTATAATAACAACTTGAATCACCGTAGATGAACCACGGTGACTGACTACAAGAAAGGCTTTTAAAAGCAATCACTTCTCTCCTTCCATATAATTTACCCTTAGCCACAGTACATAAATTCCAGGTAACCACACCACTATGAAAAGGACCGGCCTTAATATCTGCAGGTCATTTTGAGAATACGTCACTAATCAGCATCTCAGCTGATATTAAATAAGTGATTCGTAATTTTGAGCTTTGGATGACTGGTGATATGATACGCCCACCATCAGATGCTATCAATTAGTTAATTTCTTCACACAATTGAGTTGATGAGTAATATTGGTTGAGATTTTCAAACAGTTTGCAGAAAACCCACTACAAAACTATTCACTTGGCTAAACACTAAAATCAACTATCATATAAGGTATCTAATTAAAAAGGGCAAATTACTCACAATATTCAAACAATATATTACGACTTTTAAGGTAAATACGTTATACAAAGTCACAGTTACCTACAATTAGGTTTAAGTCCAACTTCTACAATTTAAATTATATAATACTGAGGAACGGCAAATGGGCAGGCTTCAATAATGTTTTACTCGACTGCAGAGGGGTAGTTCACTGTGCTTTGGATGAGGATATGGCGGTTCCTGATAATTCTGAAGTAAGCATCAAAGTACTAGTATTGACGCGTTAGCAGTTCTGGAGAATAAGAAGACTCAGAAACAAACAAGCGAGCTTACATTTTTTTAAGTAGCGAAAAGTTGTGTTTTTAAACTGAAATATTTATTGAAACAAAAGATGTATAAAGCGTGTCATTTTTATTATTCGACTAAAGAGTACAGAATCATTACTCTGGGCTCTACAGTACTTCCAGTTGTGGAGGAAAATGCCTGAAGATACTGCTTCAAGTAGTGTAAATAGTCTAATTAAAAAGGAGTTAGTATATTTTCTTCTACCCTTCTGACTTCCTTATAAAAGCTGAACTGCAGTTAATTACTTTATAGGTGTACTTCGAAAACTTGTAAGCGTAGGTTGCCTGAATACAAACATTAAACGATATTCACAGGACTTATTGAATTTATGAATATAGATTTAGATAAATGGAAGAAGTAACTGATTAATTTTACTTCAAATAGTTAGAATAAATAAATGAATAAGGGAAATGAAATTTGAGTAGAATAATTTATTTTCAAATATTTTTAACGGGGACTCACAAATTCTGGGACGGATTCAAATGACGGCAACAAGAATGATTCCCAGTAAGACCAAGTTATCATTCGAGGAAAAAATTATTGGTGTGAATATTTTCTTCCTGTCATATCGTATACTGCGACTTTTTTCCACTACTTCGTTTACCCATTAATTTATACTTTTGGAATAACAGTTACTTTCACTTATCTAAACCTATTGGCATTCGTGGATTCATAAATGTAGAGCTTGAACAAGTTATTGAAAATAATTATTCACTCCATTTTTTTCGTATTCCAAATATGTACCATGCAGATATTTAAATAATTAAATTCTTAGTGAAAATTACAAGGCCTCATATAATTTATGTAATTTTTGGTATGTTATCCAACTTAAAATGGTTTTGTTTCAGTGCAGTCAATACACGCATGTAACACGTAGCTGTACTTGCAGTCCGTAATGAGCGAATATAAGTAAACCAAAGAATAACACTGAGTGGACATAAATTAGAAGTTCGTATTTGTCAGAACTGTTTGTATTATATACATTCAACAAATACAAGCAAACATTGATGAAAATTTGCTCAATTAAATAATGGGAACAGTCAGTCACCACAATTTACATGCCTTCCTGCATATTTATAACGAAAAATGAGCAACCACTCTTCTATACTAGCATAAGATCATATGTGGAGACTCCAACCTACATACTTCAACCTACACTGGACATTTTCGGCTGGAAACAAACTGTCACTATCTCTGCAAGAGGTGACAACGTACTTGACTTAATTTTCTGTCACGATATAAGTCCCTTCTCAATCTTAGTGGGTTCTAAGTTTTCAGTTAGTGACCACAAAACAGTGATGTGTGCACTGCCACTTCCACTGAGCTGCAATGCAGCTTTTACCTGCACTTCACAACAAATAATATATAGGAACTATAGTAAGGCAAACTGGACTTTCATAGATTCAGTGTTGAGATCCTCTGAATGGACGAATACTTCACTGCTGATGACCTCTGAAGAGCTCTGAGTATCTTCTACCTGAACTCAAACACATGCTTAGATGCTGCCATTCCACTCCAAACGGTAAAGGTTTCCCAACAAACAGAGTCGTTTATAAAACCAAAGGATCGTATGAAACTGAAGAGACTCTCGACAGGTTACTTCAAGCGAATCCAGTCTTTTATCTTTTCGTGAAACTAACATGAAAGTTCGGAGAGTCTTTTAATGACAGCATGTCACATCCAGGTTTAGAGAGTACCTCAGGTACTTGGAAAACCCGACAGCGGGACTCCATTAAAAACCTCAGTGTTTTTCCCTTACTTAGCATAGGATTAAAACGAGTGATTCGCTATGGACCTGTTGTTAAGTTATCATCGTAGAGCTTCATAATTTGATGTTTCTATCATCCTAACGAGGAATTCAGACACTAGAGTTATTATTCAGGTGATGAGACCAGGATTCATGCTGTACCACAGCCGAAACGTACACAGTAAAAGCATTTCAACACTGTCTTTCATTTTGTAGATAAAATTTACTTAGGCTGTCCCTGAAAACGCTGCAAACCCATGGGACACACTCAAAAAGAATAAAATCTGATTATAGAGGGCCAGATACACACAGGTGAGGCAGTAGAAAACTAAACAATCTACTGTTTTCTCTTCATTTCCCCCAGTAAAATTGTACTGCTGCGTATAGAAAAGTTAGCGGTAGTTGCGGGAAAGCTAAATTTCTAACGTATGTTGTATGACGGACAACCTTCCTTCAAATAACCACCTTTTTTGATGGTTTTAGAGCTACAGAGAGAGATAGGTAGAATTGACCTGACTGAAGTTCAAGAATGTGTTCTCATCATCGAATTTCGAGCACGAAGAAGTGATTTTGATAAATAACATTTCGTGTAGTGGATATTGAATATTGACCCGTTTATACCGTTATAAACGTCATTGGATATTGGATCGCATAATCGCAATATATGAATATCGACGTTGCATTTAGAATTTAGAGATGGCAGGTTATTTTAATTTGCTACCATCCGAAATATCTGGATTGGTTATTGGTATGTAAATATCTGTGTAAATATTTTGCAGGCTTTTTAAGAGACAGTGACTGTATCGGTGCAGCAGAAGCTTTCTTGCAAGAATGTGCTCATCTATCGGAATTTCGTTCTCATTATTCATCAGTGAAAGAGATACCTGTATATTTCAGAGAGCTAACTCTATTAGATATTCTGCGCGATTATGTAAATATTGTGAACGAGGGTGAGTAGTTGATTTTGATCGTGGGAATCTGTTGTCCACACATATGTATTGCACAATAATGTATACATTGATGAATTAGAGTAATACTATATATATGTATATATATATTATATATATATCAGCTGACATCGCTTGTCAATGAAGGTATTCTTGTTGGTCTTGCAAGATTTGTATTCACTTATAAGCGAATCCACTTATGTTGTATTTTCAAAGTGTATATGCCCCACAAAACTCTACAGTAGTTATAATAATTTGAAATTCTCCAATATTTCAAAATAATTTGTTACTATAAATAATTAGGGGCTTCCAAGGTTTATTTTCGCCGATATTTCCTGAAGTACTTTATTTAAAGCCTCTAGTATATACAGTATCAAGCTTTTCTCTTTCGAAACAAGCATTAACTGATTTCAACACAGATCATCTGATTTTAGTGAGAGGACTATTCGAAACCAGATAGTACTGGGAGAGTGTTCCATCCATGTATGTGACTCTTAGGCAGTATGAACCCAGTACTCAGACTACAAGGCTCACCTGTGTACTATTGAACCACAGAGAATCTAACAGCCCATCCAACATATGATTCGCGATATACAGCGTGACCACCAACCAATGTTAACAATAAGTATTTATGCTCATATCCAACTTGATTGACCCCATTGGTCACAGCCTCTCACTAGAACTTCATCCTTTAGTCAGTCACTTGTGAGTGCTATCAGGTTTTCAGTGGTTCTGTGAATGAAGTCAGTTCGTTGGCAATCTTGAAATCAATTAAATCCCTGCTAACCAACGCCTGAACAGCTTGTAAACTGACTATATGAAGTGTAGCCTATTAGTTAGTACGCTTGAAAAGTATACTCATGCCAAATTATTTTAATTCGGGTGATTTTCGTTACTTTTACACATAAAATCTGAATCAGGTACAATTATGTAATCAGTCTAACAAATTGTACAACCGGTGTTTAAAGGTCTAGGCATTTGCACTCGACTATGGTATCAAGCACCTAAAAACCTACTTTTATCTAGGCAACCTAGTGATGCAGTTGGGGTGCACATCGTTAAGTTGTTTATTTATCCACATATAGTTACTAAGGTAATTGGAGTTTTAACATAATACAACTATCGTATTTTTGCTGGAGTGAATGGCTTTTAAGCCGAATCAGTGAACCTGTTGTTCTGCGTACTCTTGCATCTTCTTGACAAGAATGTCGACGTTAATATGGACATTATTTTTTCTAGTAATGCTTCACGAGAAGTGGTGAGATGGATATATCTCTTATAAATGTTTTTTCCTTCTTGCTAGGAAATTTCTTCTAGCTTATCTAGTATTCAGAATGTTCAGTTAATTCTATTCATTTTGTGTTTGATTGATTCACTGTTTTGTAGGTTTGGTTTTCTTAATTGTTGATTATCTCCTAGCCTCAAGCCTCCGAAATAGTCTTCATTGATAAACGTTTAAATTGATGCCTTTTTATTATCGCTCTTGGTGAACTTCTTTTGTCCCTTCTACTCAATAGATTTTGCTTCGTTTTTGTTGTTTTTTAAAGGTCGGTCCTTAGTTTGGTTTAGTTTTTGTCTTGTTTTGTATAAAAATTACCAGTTGAGCTTCCTCATTTTAAGATTAGTCTCCTTGTTATCCACCTTTTTTTGTTGTTGTTTCAGTTGTGCCTCATTTAAAAAAGATCAACTTACCATGTCACCTTGGTAAATTAGCTGATTCTGTAGCTAAACTTCTACGATATTTTGTCCGACAAAAACCATCTTATCCTACTGGACATCCTGAATGGATGCCAGTTGGAAGGTCTTTTGTCCATCCGCGTATTGAATCCGCCAATCCAACTTTATCAGATATTCAACCTCTAACTACTGTTAATCCTACTACAAATACGGCAACAACAACATTACTACTCGATAAAATAAGTGAGTACACTATTTTTTAACCTGTTTTTCATGTAAAGGTTGATGATTTTGAAAAAGACATCTGTTAAACATAAGACGATGAAGTTAGAGTGTAACAACCACTCCTGTACAAATCTTCAGCGACCAGTTAGAGTAACAGGTGATATAACTAATTCAATCTATGCTTCCTGTGATACATTTTTCCCTAATGAGGGGTCCAGAGAGACCTAGTGTTTGTGATTATTGTGTGAATAATGGATTAATTAGTTATTAAGAGAGTTTTCAATTGAAGCTTAACAGGTTAACCAGTTTTTCAGGGTATGTGGTATTGAGATATGGTAAAGAACAGAATCAGAATTACAAACGAATATTTGAACACCATTGGTCTGTAGTCATCATTATGACAGTTTCACAACTTCTTTCATAACTCCCCTAGGTTTCGAGTGGAACATTAGAAATATACCCACAAATTAATAAACAACATATTTGAAGACACTGAATTCACAAGAGAAGAAGAAACAGATAATAAAATTCCGTTCTTAGATGTCTTAGTCAAGTGAACTAACTAACACAGGAAATTTAGAAACACAAGTATATAGAAAATCAACGAACACAGACCAAATACTCAACTTTGATGGTTATAACCCGATTACCCACAAAAGAAACTGTGTGCAGACATTGTTTAAGAGAGTTCAAACACATTGTAGCACTCCTGTGTTGAAGAGAGTGGAGAGAAAACACCTACTGACCGTCTTCAAAAAGAATGGATATCCTCACAATTTCAGCAAAATGTGTTTAAACTCGAGTCATAACCGCAGCAACAAGCTAACATCAAAGACCACAAGAAAATCCGCTCCACCATCACATATAAAGAATATCGCTAAAATAACAGCTCAAATACTAAAACCGATTGAAATAGATTTAGCACACAAACGAGGCAGCCAGCCAGCTAGCACAATCACTTCATTCGATGTTGTGCAAACCGAAAGATCCAACAGAAAAAGAAGATAAAATTAATACCATTTACAAAATAAACTGTATGAACTGTAATAAACATCACATAGGTCAAAGTGGGCGTCCTCTTTCAGCCTGAATTCAAGAAAGTAAATTAGCTGTGAAAAGACACGATATTTACTTCTTCATATCGATGCATGTAGATAATTACGAACACGAATTTGATTGAGATAATGCAGAGATTGTAAATAGAGGAAACACCAATGATGCAGTCAGGGAATTTCCAGAAGCCTGGTATTCAAGTGAGTCAGCCAGCGATTAACAAACACATTATTATAGACCAAATTTACCAGCTAATAAAAAGTAAATCACCACATGACAAGAGAGTTTGAATTCCAAGTCAATAAAAATATGATCAACAGAGGCGAAAATTAACAACCAGTCAGGATAGTAGTTGCCAGGAGATACAACTACATCATTCATGGAGAGTTTGAATTAGTCCACTTTAGAGTAAAATCTGCGCTGAACATGACATCCAGAAGGACGACGAAAGCTTCGCAATAAAATAAGCCACATCAGGGAACACGACCAAGTCAACATCTTGGCTGGAGACTATCGATGGTGGTTTTTTGGCTTCCGTCGTTTTCAGTGCACACAGAGTGAAGAGCCATCAAGTAGAGGAGTTGCATTATTAGAAGGAAGGCAAGATAATAGAGATGAAGATGAAGACAAAGATGAGTGAGGATTAGAGAGGTTTCGCGTGCACTTCGGATTGTGAGGGCGATTGTTACTTCCCGGCTGCCCACACCGTGGAAGTTGGTTGCGTGACCGCAGAGCCCAGGGGACAACTGCTTGAGGCCGGTCACACACGGCCTGTTTTTGTTTGTTCTTTTTCATTTGGTGTGTCTCAGTAGCATATTTATCACTTCTGCCCTGTGACACGGCAGCAGGAAGCGCGGTCGTTGTTAATCCGGGCCCCGACCGATCCGGCATGATATTTTGTGATTTACTTTGAGTCATAGCATTGGATTGGGTAACTGCTTTTTGTCTAACCGCTATCCAAACAACCTTTCTGGCATGGTAGGACCTACAGGAACATAAGTTCCAGCCAGTATAGCTTGTTGGGTCATTGCGGTGTTCAAGCCCGACCACCACGTCAAGGTAGCAGCTTTCGGTCAACATCTTACTTTATCCTGTTCTCTGCACTCCTCTTTACCTGGCCCCACGATTGCCATGAACTTTCTTCTCCTCCTCAAATGATCTCCTTGTCACCGTCGGACATCAAACTCGCCGTTTCCCATTCGGGTTCCACTCGATGGTTTGCCTGGAGCGCGATGTCACTCAGTGGTTTTCACAGCATATGTCTGGCATGTTTGTTGAGCAAAACGTTCTTGGTTGGTTCGTTAGTTCCCAGAGTTCCTTTTTACTTGTCCTTTTTGGCTATCTGATCTTCAGTATGAAGCAAAGACTGCTGTTTGTGAAAGTTTACAATGGCCTATGGACTCCCACAAAGCCTCTGAACCATATAGAAGCACTGACTAATTTGAAATTAGTTTTGAAAATCTATCTTGTTCTTTGTACTGATTACAGGAGATTTCCACACTGATTTCAGATTAATGAATGTCTGTCTTGCTTTTCTGATACTGGCTGGTTTCGGTATCCTCATCCGGGCTACCTGTGGTTAAGACGAAGCTGCCCACATAAGTAAAAGAAGTGATTACATTCACATTTCTTCTGTTGATAGTGATTGGTACTTGTTGTTGCTTGGGTATTGTAGTCACCTCTATCTTTCCTGTGGTCACTTGAATTCCTGTCTTCTCTGCCATTTCTTTTGTCAACTTGTTGGTTTTCGCCTGTAGGTCTTCGAGTTTTTGTGACATTAGACATAAATCATCCGCTGCTGAATTTTGACTAGTTACTCAAAGTGAGGGGAGCTGCCATAGTTTGACTTCGCCCAGTAGACCAGATAACAATAATTAAACTGTTAGAAAGTGTTTATGGACTTTTCTACTGTCTAAAAGTGAAACCGTGTTTTGAGTTGTACTGTGAAAACTCAACCTTGACGTTAGCCGTCAGACATGCACATTGCAGTGGTCCAACCAACTGAACTGGCTAGAGTGAATGCCTACAGAGTCTTGACTAGTGCTCTGTACTATAGAGCAAGGAGAATATGCTCTACAGAGAAACTAGAGGAAGAATTTATGATTCTCGAAAATGTGCTGAAAAACAACGGTTACCCTCAAAGATTCATTAACAAATATGGAAGATGTGTGAAGGCTCAAATACAAAACAAATCACAGTTGAAAAAAAGCCTGTCTTCATTCAACTAGATTTTAAAGGTGAAAACATTGCAGAAATGGTCAACAGAAGACTGAGAACGTCACTAGCCAGGGCCTATCCTGCAGCTAAGTTGGTTCCCCTCCATCGAACAACATGCTCTTTGGTGCAGTCAAAAGTCGATAGATACCCTTCTCATGTTAACTCCGACTGTGTATACAAATTTACGTGTATCTGCGGGAGCAGTTACATTGGGAGAACAGAAAGAAGGGCACACCTCCGATTTTCTGAACATGTGCCAAAAAGCCTACGTCTCAAGAGAACAAACTCTTTTAACAGCGCTATTACTGGACATCTCGACACGGGTCATGAGGTAGAAATCGAGAAATCCTTTAAAATTATCAATAGACAAAGGAGTTCCATTCTCTTCAAGTTTGCCGAAGCAATCTCTATCAAACGCTTGAAACCAGATTTATGTGTTCAGAAAGAAGCAGTTATTAATCTTTCCTTGCCCTGGTAACTGAATGTTTTTATTCTCTCATCTGATTACGTAATCTTTGTCTTTAACCTCACCCCCTTTTATAATATGTAATTTTGCTTGTCTCTTGTTTCCATGATTTGAGTTGAACTCAGTACATTGTTACCTAATTTATTAGTCACTCTGTATCTAACGCATATCTCGTCTTTATTACGTAACTCTTTTACCATTGTATGCATACATCTATTTTGTTTAAACTTGAACTGCCTGTGTAAAAACTATATAAGCGCAATTTTCTGAGCACTTTTCACTTACTGTGGAACTTTTTGTCAACTGACAACATGTAAAATTTGCAAGTATGTTAAAACTTTTCTGTACGCAAACCTCATAATTTATTTAGGCTGTAAGCAGCTGATGAGAAGCCTACGAAATAAATGATGGTACCATATTATTCTGCACAAACCACTGTTGTTCTTGCTTTATTCAAATTCATCAAGGGGAATAAATGCATGAAGTTAGAATGGTCACTTGGACAGCGATTAGACCAAAAGCAGTTATTGTTGTATTGTAACTGGGTCACACCACGTTGGCTCTCTGAGGGAGAAGTCATACTACTGGCGAATATTAGTGTAACAACAGTAAGATGTTTTCTTCAGACAGCTAGCAAGGCAGACATCCCATCTCTCTGCTCTAGAGAGGCAGGCGGATTAAAAATGGTCGAGCCCCAAAACTGTGCTTTCCGACTTACCCTGCAACAGTCTGTAACTGGCAGTAAGTTTTCCATATGAACACAACTCTAGACGGGCGGTGGTTGGTCGGTCTGAAACAGTTGTCCTCCAGGCTCTGTGGTCATGCAACACAAACTTTGCCCTTTCAGTTCATCTTGGTCGTCATTTTTGGTATACGCGTTTATCCCTTTTACCATTGGCGAGATAATTTTACATATAATCTGGAATAAGTATACCAAGTTTTTTAAAATTATTGTAATGTACCTGTTGACCTATTATTTCTTGTTACGCATGCTGAGTCACTGCCTTCCTTGTTGAGCGAGCAAGGTTAGCACTGAAAGCACTGGGTTGGAAAAGAGTTATGGGTAGTTGAAACCAACCAGCCATATGATATCAGTCCATGCGGTGGTCTTTGACTATCGGTTTCAACTAGACTACATTTTGTCTGCATAGGTCCTCTAGAATGATACTAAGAACCAATAGCTTGAGAGTTTTAGTGACATAGTTCAAAGTCATCCTTCACTCTCTGTTAACTTCGCCAAATCCTGGTATCTCCCTACATAATTATTTCTTCTCCCGTACATTTTTGGCGATTGTACAGTTAATTTTTAATTTTTTTCTTTCCTACGTCTCTTTATGATCCTTCTGTTTTCTCTTCATCAAATTCTCCTGTAATATCAACTTGAATTAGCTACATCAAACTGTATTGGTCATCAGGCACAAAGTGTGTCTGAATCATCACAGGACGACGAGCAGACAGCAGAGAATAAGTCTCTATCGACCACTAATCCCCCTTCAGCATCATCATCATTTTCAGTCTCTTCTATTCCTTCTGTACAAATGCCTGCATCATCTACTGAACATGCTGCTGTCAATTATACAGATATTCCGCCATCAGAAACCAATGAAATCATGCGTGAGAATTATTCATCACAAATATGTTCACTGCAGTCAAGTGATGACGTTAACAATCTGATTTCTAATGATGATAATAACAACAATTCTATATTCTATGTCTATCCACATCTACCACAAACAACATCAGGTGACTGTGTAGTAAAGTCTCCCGAATTATTATCTCAAGGCAATATTGACAATCAAAATGTCAACAGTAAATGCGTTTCTACTAAACGAAAACGGTAAGAAATATTTTTTTAAAGCTTTCTGTCTATTATTTTTGTGAACTGGTTTGTTTATTAATTTTCATATTGAAGTGGAGTTGGTTTGTAAGTGGATTTGATTGATTTCAAGTTAAGTAATCACTAACTGGCACGTCACTCAGATTTATTTATTAATGTTCCCTTGGACTCCGATTGGAACGTATCTCCACCTTGTCCTACTTTCTGCAGTCCTCTTTAAATGCCCCCACGATTGCCCTTAGTCTCTCATATCCTCCCTGCACGAACTCCTCCATGTCACCCTTGAACCCATGTCCGACTTTTCGTTTCTCATTTGGGTCCTCGAGCGAAGTCCTTCGACGGTTTCTTCATCATGTGTCTGATCTATCTCCGTTTTATTCGGAATACTTTTTGACCTATCAGCTCTTGGTTGGTTTGTTCCCAGAGTTTCTTGTCGCTAATTCCCCCTGGCTGGACATCTGATCTTCAATATGGAACCAGTGAAGGCATCTGTTGATAAAAGTCTGCACTACCCTGTTGAAAATGCTTTAAGTGATGATGGGCTGGTCAATTTTCTGACTCATATTGAAGAACTGACTGATTTAACATTTGTGTTGAAAATCTGAATCTTGTTCTTTATGTTGAATGAGTTTTGAAGATTTCCAAACTGATTTCAGAGTTATGGAGAGTCTGTCTTGCCTTTCCGATTCCAATTTTGACATCTTCATCCGTGCTGTCCGCCTGACGCTGACTGCCTATGTAAGTGACGGCAGCAACCTCTTTCAAATCCCTCCGGTCGATAATGATTGGTGCTTATTGTTGTTGTTGTTCGGTTATTTCCATCACTTAGATTTTCTCTATTTTCACGTGAAGTTGTGTGTATGCTGTCAGCCTCTTCTGCCAGTTTGTTGGTTTTAGCCTGTAAGTGTTCGAATTTGTGTGTGTGTGACATTAGACACAAATCGTCCACGAAATCCAGGTCTTCTTGAGTCTTCTTATTGGTCCAACATATTCCTGTCTTCTCCCTCCCCACAATCTGGTGCATAATCCAGTTCATCACAATTAGGAATACCATCTGTGATAGTGGGCTGCCTTGTCTTACTCCTATCCATACTTCGAAGGCTTGGCTGAATTTTCCTTTGTGGATCATTTGACACATGGCACTGTTAAATAGCTTTTGGGTGAGGTTTATAAGGATTCGAAGTACTGCACACCGCAGCATTGAAGTAGTTTTCAAATTACTTCGTGGTCAGCGCTGTCAACGGCCTTTTCAGAGTCGATGGAATTGATGTAGAGGTTTTACTGGTAATTTTTACTTCGTTCAATGATGATTCGCATAGTTCCTATTATATATTCGAACATGATTTACTTTTCCAGCTTGTTCCGGTTGGAGTTCTGCATCTTATGCTTTACTGTTTTTCTCTTGTATTTTATTACTTTGCGTTTCCAGGGGAACATAGGACATCAAGCTTTAAGCATTGAAGTTTCAGTAGTGGTAATATGTTTTTTTTTACAGGGTGGGATTACTAGCCTGACTTTCTCTCTTCCTACTAGATAAACGAGGCTTAAGAATGCCGTTGGCTGGAGATCGAACTCCGGACCACGAGCATAGTTGGTAAGCGGCGGGGAATGTTATTCACAAAGTCGAAAGAGCGAATGTGAACGTCTGATGCTCAAAAATGAATTGGTGGACATGCAGATCTCCTTAAAAAAGCTCGAAAATCACGATTTCAAACCTATGATGATGAACACGGGCTCCAGAATTTGATTTGAAACTGTTTTGGTTACCATTAGCTACAGAAAGGCAGTTTCTCAAACTACTCCACCCTCATTGTAGATCAATGACTTCAAGTCAAAATCTCGGAGGAACGATTCCTTAAGGCAACTAGCTGTTTTGGTTCAGGCGCCTGGGTAGTTATCCCATTTATCACACAAGCTGTGAGATTGTGTTGCGTGTATACTGCTCATCAGTCCGCTCCGTCCTCCTTTATGGCTGTGAGACCTGGCCATTGAGAGTGGAAGACATGAAAAGATTAGCTATCTTTGATTATAGGTGTCTGCGTTCTGTCTCCCGTGTGAAGTGGTATAATAAGGTGAGCAATATTGAGGTTAGGCGTCGAGTGCTAGGTAGGTGGGAGGGGAAATCAATCGACGAGACTGCGAAATTACATAGACTGAGATTGTTAGGACATGTGTTTAGACATGTATGTCTAGTCATCGTCTTCCTCGACAATGTTAGCTGATATAGGGTCAGGCTGGGAAAGAGCTAGCACATGGTGGTCAAACGAAAACATGGCACCAGTCAATGAAATCTACAACAGTTAGTCTAAGCCAGCCACGTAGGAAGGTGTAGACTTCCTGACTTCATGGTTGAGGTCCTCGGGACGGTAAAAACCAATGGTCGGAAACAATTTGTGATATGGCTCAGAATCATTCCCAATGGCTGGCGCAGATGCATCCACTCCTTGTGACTTATGATTTCCAATGAAACTGTTTTGTTCTTCGTTATTACTATTCCTTTGTCTCACACCTCTGTTTACTGTCTCTAATATGCATTTCTCCTACTTTCTTCTGTTGCTTTGTGTGCTACAAGGAGGGAGTGTGGCGACTTGAACTGGCGCACATGTGTGCAAAGTTCTATGTCGAAAACAGACATACAGATTGTGTTGCACATCTACCAGCACCAAGCTTGTGTTTTATGTTTTTAATAATGAATAGTAACAGACGATGCTTCGTCTGTATTATTCATAGAAAATTCAAATAAGTTCACTTCATATTGAATTTTTGAGCTGAAGATGTTGTCTAGAAAGCTTTGCAATTACACACCACCCACTTAGCTCAGAGAGAGCACAACCATATTGAAATTATCCATCTGAGCTATAAACATTTCCTACTAACTACTGTGTTCTCCCTTGGAATGCAGAAGTTCAGACATACTAAATTTGTAAGAAAGAAAGCAGGCCACGCACTTTATTGTGAATAATTTCAGTTACCAAACGTATTTCAAAATGGCACTTTATCTTTTGACACCGTACATAATCAATCAATTGAATGCAAATAGAGAAAAGGTAAAAATGCGTTTAATTTCAAGTGGAATAAAATTTCAGTGAGATTTGCCCATTTGTCTGTCTGTCTGTCTGGATTCAACATAGAACTTGGCACTGAAGTGCAGCAGTTCCAGTTGCCACGTTCCAAATAGCACACAAAGGTAGACAAGAAGATAAGTGAAGAGAATCAATAGGGTTTTGACAAGTATAAGAGTGAAACAGAATGAGTAATGAATGGTAGAAAGGTATATGAAAGATTACAGAGAGAGACTGAATACATCTGCGTAAGCCATTGACAACGATTTTGAGCCATGTCTCCTATTGTCTCCAGCCATTGGATCTTAGAGTCCCGAGGGCTCCAACCCGGAAGTCTGCATCTCCCTCCCTACCTGACTGACTCAGTTTAACTGTCAAGGATTTCATGGATTGATGAGGCCATAGTTTTGTTTGGTCACCACTTACTCTTTTCCAACCTGCACCTACATCAGCTAGTAATGCCCGTCCGTCGGGGGAGGCGATGGTTAGGCATGCGCAGCACGTCACCTAGCCATCTCAATCTATGTAAGCAGCCCGAGCTTTTTGGATCCGTGCTGAGATTTCGTCACCAATCAATCCGTTGGTGCTGATACAACTTCCCAAATAGGTGAAGTGGTCAACATGTTCTATCACTTCACTCCCTATCACTAAGCTAGGAGTTGACGTAGTCCAGTCCTGTAGCAGCATCTTACATTTTACAGGGGCGAATCGCATGCCAAACATACGAAGATTGTTGCTCAAGGTGTTCAGAAGACTCTGCATTTTGTCAGCGTCCTCCCCTAACAGGACTATGTCGTCTGCATATTCTAAGTCTATAAGACTATTCCCTGGTAACAAGTCGATTCCTAAGTCATTAAGTTCAGTTAAGGATACTTCCATTAGCATATCTATGATGAAGTTAAATAGAAATGGGGAAAGTGGACATCCTTGACGGACACCACTGGTTGTTATCAATTCAGATGACAATTCCCCATAAGCCCTTACACGGCTACGTGAGTTTGAGTAGAGTGCCTTGATTAGTGTAATGTACTTTCTTGGCACTCCCTTCATAGTCAAACATTGCCATAGTACCTCTCGATCCACGGAGTCGAAGGCCGCCTTCAAGTCAAGAAATATGGCAATTGTTGGACGCCTAAAAGTGTCTATGTTCTAGGATCTGTCGGAGAGTGAAGATATGATCTATGCACCCTCTACCTGGCCTAAAGCCTGCTTGATTTTCCCTCGTTTGTTCCTCCCGAGTTCGGCTTAGTCTGTGCATGATTACTGAGCCTAGGATTTTAGAAACTATGTTCGTCAAGCTGATTCCTCTATGATTATCACATGAGGACTTGTCTCCCTTCTTGAATATTGGTATAATAAGTGACTTACCCCAATCTGATGGAACCGTCTCTGATTCCCAGACGTTACCTAGTACCTTAGTTAAACTATGTACTAGTATGTCAGCCCCATATTTAAACACCTCCGGAATAATTCCGTCGGGTCCTGCCGCTTTGCCTCGTTTCAAATTACAGATAGGTTTTGTGACCTCACTTACAGACGGCGGGCCAGTGTCTATGTCCCATTCGAGTGTGTGCTGGATGGCGAGGAGGTTCACTGTGGCTGCAGGCAAGTTAAATTATCCCTCAAAATGTTCTTTCCAGCGTTCAAGGCGTCTATCTTGAGAGCTAATTATGGAGCCTTTTTTTCCTCAGAAATAGTCTCACTTATGATTTGCCTTCTCCCACCCGTTTTCTGATGAGTCTAAAGAGTTGCCTAGTGTTGCCTATGTGTCTGTCCATTTCTGTCTTACTAACTCTGACCCAACCTGCTTTCAGAAAGACCTACCTTTGACGCTAAATCCTATTGTAACTTTGTCTTTGCTGTTACTTCTCTTGTTTCTTTCTTAATTCCTGGGTGTAGAAGTCAACCACCACGTCACTTGGTATCATCGCCTTCAGTTGGGAATGCAACAATGAGTGGCTTGGTCACTAACTGTGAAGAAGACGAAGAATTAGATATGGAGGTAAGTTTTTTTTTAAATGATCTTATTATTGATTATTTTTATTACTGAAAACACAAACTTAGTTTATTATAGGCAAGCTGACATGGTTAGAGAACCATTGAAAACCAGGGAGTACTGGACAGCTGCTGTTTCATCCTAGTTTGGGACTCTTCATCATTACGCACCCACCGGGGTTCGAACCCAGGACCTTTTGGTTACAAGGTGAGCTCGGAGACCATTAAGCCACTAGTTTATTATAGGCACCAAGAGATGCACCACGCAAAATCTCATACTTTATGCGAGGGCTTGGATACTGCTCGGGTCAACCAGATTGAAACAGAAGGTTGTCTTAAGGGGCCTGTCCTGAAGCCTTTGACTTGAAGTCTGATCCACAAACCAGAGGAGGAGAATGGGGAGCTGTGTTCCCATAGCTATTGGTAACTAAAACAAGTTCATATGGCATTCGATTCAATCGGATTCTGGAGCCCAAAGGTAAACCAAAGGTTCAGAATTTCAGGGTTTCCCAGCTCTTCTAGGTCAACCTGCATGTCCACCAGTCCTGTTGTAAGCGCCAGACGTTCTCGTCCACCCTTTCACTTTCGTAAGGAATACCCCTACCACGTGAAGGCGGTGAATAGGACTTACTTGACAGAGGCTAGGAATGCATGGTTACATTTGAGCATTTCGAGAGGAAGCCCGGAGCGCGTACCTACCCTTGTCCTTAACATATCGATATAAAGTGGTAGTAGTAGCATTTTTATTTTGATTACCATACCAAAAGACTTCCAGGTATGTGTATTAAGTTTCTGTGTACATAGGTGCCTGTTTGACACTGGATAGTTGGAATTGGGATGCTATACTCATTCGGAAAATCTATGTTAAAATATCTTCAAGTAATTGCTTGTTTTTAGCGGGAGGAATTCTAACCTGATGTTCGACTCGAAAATAGTGTACTATTTTTCATATTTCTTCTTCTAACCTACTTTAGGGCTAGGGTAAGGCTTTCGTTTGTTATTATTTGCGCCTTTACGGTATGTTTGAGTTATATTCTACTCTGACAGCACTAACATTACTCCAATCAATCAATACTGGTCAGCGTTCTAAAAACCACATAAAAAAAGATTTACAAGACATCTACCTATCTGACTGGTGAAAAAGAGTAGAACTTTATACACAGTGGTGTTTCAGTGTACAACTTACCACACATAAGAGTAGAAAAAAGAATTAGCGTAAAGGTAAATTTAGCAAAAACATTCGATTTCCAAGTGTTCATTTGCAGGGATGTGATTGATTTTGAAGTGTGATTACAAAATGACTTCAGTTTGAGAATCATTGAAAACCAGGAAGTACTCGACACATGTTATTCTCTAATTTGAGACTCTCTTCAGCAACACGCACACACATGACTTTACCTCTAAGGATCGAACCCCAGCACCTTCAAATTACGAGGCAAGTTTCTGGGACAGATGACAGCGGTTGGCATTTGCTCTATATACCGCAAACTAGCAGAGGTTAGATTTCATTGCCAATTGCATTCCGTTCCAGTATCTGGACGGTCAGTGAGCTGGGCTCGTAACCTGGATCTCCTGGGGTCGTCGGTGCACGCTGTTGCAGAGTCTCGAACTAGGATGAAACAGATGTTTAGCACTACTTCGTGCTTTTCTTCAACGGTTTGCTAACTAAAGTCAGTTCGTTGTCAAACCTGTAAAAATGTTATAAAGGTTAGTAATAATGGAATTCACATTTTAAAAATCAGTGGTTTGATAAAAAACAAATACGTCTGCGTAATGGTGACCAATTTCAGCCTGTGCTGCAAAGAGTTCCCAGTTAGTAGTAGTCCACATTTCTCTACATTGCTCTGACCAACAATGAATGGCTTCATGGATTGGTGCCATACTTTCATCTACCCATTTGCAGTTTTTTCTTTTTCAAGTTAGTCTTATTCCTGCTAACATTTCTCATGGAGAAATTCGGTAGTGTGACCACCTCAGTCGGTGAAGCTTCATAACCTCATTAGTTGACTTCTCCACCATACCTGACACTCTGCTGTTTAATCTCAATGTTACTCGCCAAATTATACCATCTGTTATGGAAGATAGAACACAGACACCTATGATCAATAGACAGCTAGTCTTTTCCTATCCTCCACTTTCAGTACCCATGTCTTACAGCCATAACATAAAGGAGGACAGAGCGAACTGATGCACAATACACGCTTCTTTTGATGGATAGCTGGATATCACGGATAGCCGTGAGAGATGACTTAGTTTGGCAAATACCACATGAGCACTTTGTCTCCGTGCTGAGATTTCATCAACAATCAGTGCATTAAAGCTGGTGCAACTTCTCAAATAAGTGAAGTGGTCAAAAAGCCCTAATAATTGACTTAATATCTTTAAAATGGGAGTTGGTGGAGTCCTTCTGCGGTATATTTTACATTTGACAGGAACGGATTGCAAGTGATTATGAAGTGAGAGACGATGATGGTGATTGGTCTTAGTAGATAGATTCATCCAATGGTTCTCTAACTAATGTCAGCTCATGATGAAAATCCTGTAACCAATCAAATCCCTAAAAACCGACACTTGAATATCAATGAGATGCTCACTAGCGACTTGCCCTATTTAGGTAGGTAGTTACCTGTGGTTCTAGTGAGAAGTCGTGACCAGTAGGGTGCAGCTGGTCGGGTGTGAGGACAAATACTCGCCGAAGACATTGGCTAGGGGTCGCGCTATGTCGTGAATTGGCAGGAGTTAGAATTCATGCACTGGCCATTGGATCGGGTGCCAGTGGCTTAATGGTATACGAGCTCGCCTTGTAACTAGAAGGTCCTGGGTTCGAATCCCGGTGGGTACGTACTGATGAAGAGTCCCAAACTAGGACGAAACAGCTGTCCAGTACTCCCTGCAGGTTTTCCAGTGATTCTCTAACTAATGTCAGCTCATGATGAAAATCCTGTAACCAATCAAATCCCTACAAACCAACACTTGAAAACTGAAAAGTCGGTTGAAGGTTGTAAAAGGTGTCAAGTGAGTGGCTATTACAAAGTAGTATGCAATAAGGAGTGATAGGTTCATCATGAAATAACCAATATATGAAATGAAGGGTATATATTAAGAAAAGGTATAATATCGCTAATCATAAGTCCGGATAGAATAAATGGAAAATTCAGTATAATTTTTAAAGAATGCTAGAGTGAAGGATATAAATTATAATGAATCATTATAATGAGAAAAATGATAAACAAAGCGAAAGAAGGAAGGAATAAGAGGGAGAGGTACTCTTAGAGAGGAGAAGGAATTTTAATCCAACTTTGGTCGTGGTATAGAACAGTGCCTGAACGTGTTCTTTTCGAATACAAAGTTCTGGTTTAGTTGATCTTATTGCAACAGCTTCAGCTGTGTGTATAGAAGACGTATAGTTAAATTTGGACTTTTAATTCATGATATTGGAATATTTAACACCATTAAGTTTTATACTAAGATGTGTTCTGACACCGTACATTTAGTCAGAGTCTTCGCTTAAGAAGACAGAGTGCAACATCGGGTTTCAGTGGCGCGTGTCCATTGCACTTGTTTCCCTGACATCACTTTCAGTTAACTCTAAGACTCCTCAAAAAGCTTCCATTTTCTCTTCAAAAATGATCTTCTCGATGTCATCTTCGGTCGCCCACCTCGTTGCTTTCCATTTGAGTTTTACTCAAGGACTTGAATGTCTAGTCCATCTCTGTTTCCTTTTGAGAGTATTCAGCAATAGATTCTTGACTGGTCCTCTGCCTGCCAGGATCCCTTGTTGCATATCCTCTCGGGTCATCTACTCTTCAGTATTGAGTGAAGGCATCTCTGTTAGTGAAAGTCTGAATTAGCTTGCTGGAAATGTGTTAGGTGACGCACACACACACACACACATACCAAGTCTGTGAAGTATATAGAAGCACTAACTGACTTGTCATTAGTGTTAACGAAGAATTCAGAACGGAGAACTCAGCGAGGCTTTTGGAGTAAACATAGGAGGGTGCCTATTATCACCAATGATATTCCTAATTTTGGTGGACTGGATTATGCGTCAAACAGTGGGAAACGAGAAGACAGGGATATCCTGGACCGACGTGAAGAACCTAGAAGACCTGGATTTCGCGGATGATTTATGTTTAATGTCAGACAAAATCGAAGACTTACAAGCGAAAACAGACAAACTGGTCGAAGAAGCAGCCAGAAGACAGGACTCCAGGTGAACATAGACAAGACGGAGGTTATGAAAATAACCAACCAGCCAACAACAACAGCTCTAGATCTTCACATTAATTTTAGAGTAATGAACACCTGGGTATTTTGCTTTCCCGATCTTAGCTGACATCGGTATCGTCATTCGTATCGCCTCGGGTAGTTAAAATTATGGTGCCCATTGATGATGACTGGTGTTTCATTGTTCTTTCTTGTTTTTTTTCGTTTTTTACCACACATATTTACACATATTTATTTGTTTTCTTTATTTTTTCTATCCTACAAATAAAATTCCTTCATAAATGATTAGCAATTCCTGGCTGCGCTATTCGAAAATGCTGAAGAAGTAGCTACGCGTATCAACACAGAAGTCGTCGTACCAAATCGTTACTGTGATGGTGATGATGATATTGACACAACCACGTCTGCTGTTACTGCTGCTGCTGCTTCAAATAATAATAATAATGTAGTATGGAAATGTGTCAAGGAGGATCCTTTCAACTATGAAGGGAACAATGACAATGACAAATCTATAGAGACTTGCGATACAATTCTAAAAAATGCACACCACTCTCCTAATAATGATGCTTGTACAACACAATCATCGGATAATTTACAAATATGGAATGAATGGTTTGGCGTAAGTATTTTTCTCATTAGACCTTTTGTTTTCTTCTCTACTTTTCTTGTAATACTTGAGTTTGTGGCTTTTTTGGTGGGGGGGGAGGTGGGTTGATTGCATTTCAGGGGTAGACTTCATCATATGATGCTTGTTAGGATGTGTGGGTGGGTGCATGCTGCAGAAGAGTTCCAGACGAGAACGGAATATTTACTCTGAGTCCTGCTCAACCTTAAAGTCATTCGAATTCACACAAAGTAAACTTTCGCAGTAATTATCCACTGTTCACTGATGTTTAACCTCAAAAAGAAGGAGTTTTTGAGGAATCTATAATAGAAAGATTGAGCAGCGAAGAAATATTTACTTTTCAATTAGATCCTCATCTCACTCTGGCTCTACTCTAATATATATAGCATTTTTATTACAATACACAACAGTTTACCAATCAAGTGGCACTGATATGTTTGTTAACAATAATTAAACAGTGTCAAAATGTCAATGGGTTGATAATTAACGAAGAAAATCAATACACATTTAAAAGGTAGAAATGGATAGAATAAATTAATTTTACAAGGATAACACGTAATTAAAGATGAAGTGGTCAAAATAAATAAAAATAAAATAATTTGGACAATTATAATTTTATAGGTTCAGGGGGAGGGGAGCGACGTAGTCCTGTTTATGCATTCTTCTAGAGATGGCCATGGTAAGGAAAGTGGCTGTACAAATTTCTTCTGATCACATAGGCTTGGCTTCTTCAGGTGGATTCCGATTGCTTCAGCTGTCTGTAGAAGACGAACTCGTAGAGCAAAATTAAGATTAGTCGGAATGCGATAAATAATTTTAAATGCAGTATTAACATCAACCTTATGCTCAGTATCAACAAGGTGTGCTAAAATAGAACTACGAATAGATCTTGTTTGTCCCTTGCTTAACCATGCTGGATGATGTTCGGAAATACGACGATGAACCTGCCTAATTGACGCCCAATGTAGCTGGCTCCGCAGCTGCAGTCAAACTGGTAGATACACATAGAAGAGGCAAATTTAGGTAGTTTGTCCTTATTTCTCGAACATAGAATAGGGGTGGTTGTGAAGAGACAACGTACCTCTGCTGCATAGTAAGCTCTTTTAACTGCATTCTTCAGGCGCTGTGTTATGATTTCGCTGATGTTGTCTCCGAGGAACTGCAATTTTATGAACATTGGTTTCTTCGGAACTGTAGCCATACTGACTCTCCTTGGTGCTGAATTCATATTTTTCTCAATGAATTTATCTGGATAACCATTTTTTCTAAGTAATTCTCTAATAATCTTAAGCTCCTCATTGAGGCAGTCGTCTGAACAGATTAACTTAGCTCTATGAACCAGACACTTTACCAGGTTACGTTTATATTTCAAAGGTACAAAACTCAAAAAATGAGTGTACTGACCTGTTGTTGTAGGTTTCCTATACACACTCCTTCTTAGTGTGCCATCTTCTTTCCTTGCCATGAAGACGTCTAGGAATGAGATACTATCATTACTTTCTTTCTCTATGGTAAAGTTTATTGCTGAATGTGCAACATTAATCTTGTCAAGGATGTTCATTGCATCATTCTCGTCTTTCATAACCACAAATGTATCATCCATATATCGACAGTAGAAATCCATGTCATTAATTACTCCTTTCAGTGGTCCATTCTCTAATTTAGCGAGGAAAAAATCAGCTAGGATTGGACCTAATGGGGAACCCATAGCTACACCATCAATTTGTCTGTAATATTCCTTATTGAATAAGAAATGAACATTCATTGTACATCTTAAAATAAGTTCCTTCAAGGTGGATACAGAAATCCCGATGTCTATGTTTCGTGTAGTAATCTCCTCACATATAAAATCCACTGTCTCCATTAACGGTACATTCGTGAACAAGGAGGATACATCTACAATAAGAAATTGCACGAAAACACTTGGATGACACATTGAATGAGCAGCAGTATAGTGAATGAATAGAGAAGTCTCTTAGTTAGTGGATCATTGTTACCGACGAACTCAGTAGCTGAATAAACGAAACCTGATGCGGTTAAACTTTAAGCACCAAAAATGTAGCGTCGAACAAATGACCTTGAAAATGCACCAATCATATGAAAAAAGGCGTTTTTCACATATAAAATACGCAATTATGAAAATAATCAATAAAAAGACTTGAGACTGTTACACAGGATACCTTTATCTGACGTGTATGTGATAAAAATGCCTCTCTCAGTTTAGCATTGGAGTGTTACTAGGGTATTGAAACCACATTCTATGCTTGTATTGATCCGGGTCTTTTAACCCTAACGTTAAAATATCCATAAACTAACCCCCTAGCCTAAATCGAAACAACCCAAATATTTCCCCTGTTAGCTTAACCTAACCCTAACCTGTCCTCAGCCCAAGCCTAAATGTAACTTGTGTCTAAGTGCTGTAAGATTATTGGCACTGTCTCTCAGCCCTTTACTACTTTTTGGTGCCTAAAGTTTAACTTCGTCGGGAACCTATACGCCTGGTTACCTTTAAGATCATGAATTTAACTTGTAGGTGTTGTTGTATATGCCTAATTCTTTCATAATATTATATTTGGTTGGTTTTACAGTACAACTATGTTTGAATTTTTCCTCATTTATGATCTCTGAACTGTGTTGGTTGTTAACTGTTTCAACCTGTCAGATGAAGGGCATTTAAAACCAAGTTTATTTAAGCCTATTATTATTATTGCTCCCTTGGGTTTCTAGTGGAACATAAGGCTTCAACTACACGTCTCCACTTGCTTCTGTCTTCTGCTGTACTTTTCACCTGCGTCCATGTTAATCGATACTGTTTCAACTCTTCTTCACACGATCTCCTCCATGTCACCCTTGCACTGACGTCCCACTCGCCGCTTCCCTTTCGGGTTCCACTCGAGCACTGGCCTGACTGACGCGCGATGTCACACAACGGCCTCCTCAGCCAGTGTCCAATCCATCTCCACTTTCTCCTGCATATTTGTTGAGCGATTGGTTCTTGTTTTGTTTCTTCCCATAGTTTCTTGTTGGTGATTCTTTATGGCCATCTGATCTTCAGTATAGAGCGGAGACAGTTGTTGATGAAGGTTTTCAACAGGCTGTTGGAAATATTCTTTGTGACCCGCCAAGTTTCTGATCCATACGTATAGAAGAACTGACTGACTTGACGTTTGTATTGAAAATCCGAATCATTTTGTTGTTGATGGTGAGTTGAGTGACGAAGATTTCCAGATTGGTTTTAGGTTGATGAATGTGTTTCTCGCCTTCCCGATTCTCGATTTGACATCCTCGTTCGTTCCTCCTGTAGTTGAGACAATGCTCCCTCTCTAGATAAGTGAATGAAGTAACCTCTTTCAAATCCCTCCCGTTGATGGTGATTGGTGGTGGATGTTGCTGCTGTTGTTATTGTTAGTTGGTTATTTTCATAACCTCCGTCTTGTCTAGGTTCAGCTGGAGTCCTGTCTTCTCTGGCTGCTTCTTTGACTAGCTTGTCGGTTTTCGCTTCGATTTTGTGTGACATCAAACATAAATCATCCACGTGCGAAATCCAGGTCTTCTAGGTTCTTCATGTCAGTCCAGGATTTAAGCCTATATATATATATATATATATATATATATGGAACTGCTGAAGGTTTTTTTTCACTCTTGATCCGAGACAGTGGAACTTCACTATATAACAGCTTGCTTTCTTCTCTGCGTCGCGTGTCAGTGGTAGCGGGTTGTAGTTGTTGCCGTTGCCAGTAGTAATTAACACAGTAGACTCGCCATTTTTATCATATTTGGTTAGGAAGTTCGTTAGCACAAACTGGTTGTCATCTGAAATGATGACAACGAGTAGTCTGTCAGGGGGATGCCCACTGTCCCCATTTCTGTTTAATTTTATCATAGATGTACGAAAGGAATCGGTCCTAACTAACTTCAGCGACTTAGGGATTGCTTTATTACCAAGGAACCGTCTTGTTGACGTGGAATACGTGGATGATATATTATCCTCCTGGGTGAAGACACTGATAAAATACAGAGTTTTCTGAACAATTTGGGCAGCAATCCTCAAATCGTTTGGTATGCGCTTTTTTCCTGTCAGATGTGAAATGATGCTACAGGACTAGACTAAAAGGAGTGAAGTGGTAGAGCGTACCGCAAAATTTCACTTATTTGGGAAGTTGCATCAATCCCAACTGGCTGATTGCTTGAAGAAATCTAGGCACGGATAATAAAGACTTAGGTGGCATTCGCCAACTTCAATCAGCCAACCTGAAGACATTTTTTATCTGTCTCATTGACCTACATACGTAAATTTTCACGGCAACATTGGCCTCTCACCAACATTGAAGAGAGGGAGAGACACCGTGTTTTTGATGAATATCAACAACTATGAAGCTGCAGTTCACAGTAAATGTGCTGTTGCTTAAACTTAGTGACTGGCCACCAACAACACACTTAAAGAATAAACTCAACTATAATTACCATCGGGTGATTAACTTGCATAACTTTTGTTTCAGTGGGATGTCAGTTTTGATTAAAAGAGGGAACCTTGGTATCTGTCATGTTCAATCTGAGAGGGAGGGGGAGACGTTCAGTTTACAAAAGTCGACTATAGTCTTTTTCTCTCTTATTTATTTATTTATTTATTTACGGTTTGTATTGTGAAAGTTTATGTGATTTGTGACAACTAGCATCATAACAGTCAGTGATGAACGGACAATCGTGTATTATTATTATTACTTGTTCATATGATACGAATGTTTGGCATGCGATTCGCTCCCGCCAAATGCAACATGATGTTACAGGATTGGACTACACCGACTCCTAGATTAGAAATAGGAAGTGAAGGGGTTGAGCACGTTGACCGCTTCACTTATTTGGGAAGTACCATCAGCCAGTGCCAACGGGGTGATCTCTGACGAAATCTCAGCACGAATATAGAGGGCTAGTTTCGCACATGCCAGTTTACGCCGTCTCTGGCGTAGACGTGATATCCGACTATCGACCAATGGGCGTGTGTACTGCTCATCAATCCTCTCCGTCCTCCTTTATGGTTAGCTGTGAGACCTGGTCATTGAGAGTGGAAGAAATGAAAAGATTAGCTGTGTTTGATCATAGGTATCTGCGTTCTATCTCCCGTGTGAAGTGATATAATAAGGTGAGCAATATTGAGGTAAGGCGTCGAGGGCTAGGTAGGTGGGAGGGGAAATCAATCGACGAGGCTGTGAAATTACATCGACTGAGATGGTTAGGACATGTGTTACGTATGCCTAGTCATCGCCTTCCTCGACAATGGGCAATGTTAGCTGATATAGGGTCAGGCTGGAAAGGAGCTAGCTAGCGGCGGTCAAACCAAAACATGGCTTCACCAGTCAATGAAATCTAAAATAGTAAGTCTAGGCCACGTAGGAAGGTGTAGACTTCCTGGTTGGGGTCCTCAGGACGGTAAAAACCAATGGTTGGAAACAATTGGTGACATGGCTCAAAGTGATCGTTCTCAATGGCTGGCCGGTGCAGATGAATCCACTCCTTGTGACTTATGATTTCAAATGAAACTGTTTTGTTCTTCGTTATTACTACTCGTTTGTCTCACAGCTCTGTTTACTGTCTGTAATATGCATTTCTCCTACTTTCTTCTCTTGCCTTGTGTGCTACATGGAGGGAGTGTGGCGACTTGAACTGGCGCACATATGTGCAAAGTTTTATGTCGAAGACAGACAGACAGACAGTTCATATGATATCTGGGTAAAGTTCTCGTTAGTGGAAATGCAGTTGAAGCTAGTCAGTTGGACATTTTCGCACTTTAATCTTTACTTTAGATAGTCTCGTTTCAGCTCCAGTTACACAGAGTCCGCTAGTTCGGGCGTGAGGACAAATATCCATGGATGGATGACGTTGATGACAGTGGTCGCACTAAAATAACGAATTGGTAGAGGAGGATGAAATTCATGGGACATTGGATAGCGTCCTCGGTGACCGAATGGTCTACTAGCTTGCTTTGTAACCTGAAGGTCCTAGGTTCAAACCCTCTTGGGTGCGTGCTACACTTGAGGAGGGAGTTCCAAAAACACTGGGACTAAACAGCTGTTCGGACACTCCCTGGTTGGTTTTCACTGGTTCTTCTTTAACTGACATCAATTCGTGATCAAACTTAAAACAAATCCAATCCCTGCAAACATAAACAAGTTCACTAATAATAATAATAGTAATAATAATTTGCTTTATTCCAGAAACAGTACTAGTGGTACAGTGTGGAATTTTCAGCACAGATCTACAATATTTGCATCTAATTTTACAAACATTTAAAAGGAGTATTTCAAAAAATATAAATATAAAGACAACAACAGCAAAAAAAAACAACACAAAAAACACAAAAATAATTTTTAAAAATGCGAAAAAATACCAAGAAGTAGAAAGGAAAATAAACAGCATATAATAATATCTCAGTATTGGGTAGTGGAAGCAATGATATGATTATGCATGGTGACAGTAAAGCTATAGTCATACAAGAAGTTATGAAATGATATTTAAGAATGTTTATCACCAAGATGATCAGTTAATTTGGTTGAAACAATCATAAAATAACATTTCAGGGTTGTTTTTTTATCATGTCTAATGCAGTGTTTGTAGTGGTAGTGTGAATAATCCTGCATAATACGAAATTTTAAAATGGTGGTAATGGCGTTCACAACCAATGGTTGTCAGTTAATATTGCCGAAAAAAACCCACAAAAACTAATAATTACATGATGGTTAATGACAGGACAATTTTGTACTACTCATAGTGGTAATATAGTCGGAACCAGTAGATACACAAAAGAAGGAATAGAGTAAAGTACAAAAAAGTAAGCCAATGTTAATAATTTAGGTAACTAAGTATGTTTCAGAAGGAGTTCACTATAGAATGCAAAATAAGAGAGAAATAAAAGAGCCTAAAATTATGTTGTTAACAACAAAGCAAGTCATAGGTTTCGCGCTTAACATTGTCTCTGTCACTTAGAACACGGGCCAAGTATGGTATCGTTGAGTTCCTGTACTTGGTTGTACGAGCATAGATTATTTTATACTGATTTCTGGTTTTATTTGATGAGATACAAGGAGAGAGTTGGGAATAGAGGAGGTGTTGGGGGTCGGAGAGTATGGTTTTAGACCATTTTTCGCATGTATTCAGATGCCTTTCAACTACTAATGTAGTGACGAGCTGACTGAGTTTTACACCACTAGTCCTACTAACTACCTTCAACATCCTTCTCAGGATGGTATAGTCCTTTTTCAGTAAGTAGCCCAGGAAAGACTAACGGGGAGCAGTAAAGTAGAGAATAGGTAAGATACAAGAGTTGACAAATTGTGAAAGTAGAGGTTGGGTGATTCCAGATTGTCTAAGTTTCTTAATGTTGTAGTAGGTTAGACAGAACACTTTCTTAGAAATCGTTTCGATACTTTTTAACACTAATTAGTAAGTAGTTAATATGCAATCCTTTCTTTTTGGTTGATTTTTTTTCTTTGATTAGGTAAAAGGTGATTTAGACACGTGTATTGATCGTTTGTTGTCAGACTTTGAATCGAGTGAACTTACCAGTACTAGTACCAGTACCACTAACATTCCTGCTACCATACCGGCAACTGATATCACGACTAACATTACTACGTCTACTGCTGCTGCTGCTGCTGATACTACTGTTGTCAACTTTGAGAATTATCACGATGTATACATGGTAGATATTGATGATCCTTTATATGAATCAGCCATAAAAATGTTGAAGGTATCAAGGAGTGTAATTTCGAATCCCTGTGTCTCACAATCCTTATCGATTCCAATGACATCCTCTTCCTCCTCCTCCTCTTCTTCTCCTTCTTCTTCTCTGATCTGTGTATCTCCTGTTACCGTGAGCAGAACAACAACAACAACGACAACAGCACTACCAATAACACTAACGACAAGAACGCCATGTGATGAATCTCATGTCAATTCACCAATGACGTCACCTTCTACACGATTGCGTAAGAGAAACAAGAATATCAATGAAAATGATCGATCTATTACATTAGAAAATAATAATAATAATAACAATGCAAGCATGACGTCAACATCGATCACAGATAGTCAACAGACCACTACTACTCATCAACCAGTAACAATCACATCCTCAGGAGTTTGTTCAGACCAACTGTCGTCTAAGCCAGTGAAACATTTACGGAATAAACGACGATGTGTAAATCAAACCTCTAAGAATCACAATAATAATAATAATAATAATAATAAATAATAATAATAATAATAATAATGATAGCGGTGGTATCAGGAATACTTTCACCATCTTATCGTCTGTGCTGAATACACCGGATTCAAACAAAGCTTACAATAGAAATGAGTATGAAATTCATAATAGCAATAATAACACGACTACTACTAATAATAATGAGAGGTTATTTCCTCAAAGTCCATCACCAAGTGGTGTACTACTGAACAAGAATACAGGTAATTAGTGTATGCTCATAGTTTGCTCGTTTTTTTCAATCATATATATATATATGTATATATTCCCTTGAGTTCCGACTGGAACATAGGGCTTCAACAACACATCTCCACTTTGTCCTATCTTCTGCCGTCCTCTTCAGCTTCGACGACGATTGCCCATAATCTCTCATATTTTCCTCACACAATCTCCTCCATGTCACACTAGGACAACGCACTCGTCGCTTCTCATTGGGATTCCACTCGAGCGATGGCGTGGCGCGCGATGTCATCCGATGGTCTGCCCAATGTATGACCGATCCATCTCCACTTTCTCCTACAAATTTGTTGAGCGATCTGTTCTTGGCTGGTTTGTTCTCTCACAGTTTCTTGTTACATATTCTTTCTGTCCATTTGGACTTCAGTGTGGAGCCAGAGAAGGTGGCAGCTGTTGATGAAAGTCTGCAGTGGCCTGTTGTGCAAGTCCTTTTGGTGACACGCCAAGTTTCTGACCCGCATAGAAGGACCGACTTGACACTGGTGTTGAAAATCCGAATCTTGTTATTTACGTTAAGTGCAGAAGATTTCTAAATTGGTTTTTGGGTTGATGAAGGCGTATCTTGCGTTCTCCATTCTGGTTGGTGTTGACATCTTCTTCCGTTCGGACTGCCTGTAGTTGAAACGATGCTGCCTAGATAAGTGAAGGAGGCAACCTCTGTCAAATCTCTCCCGTTGATGGTGATTGGTGCTGGTTGTTATTGTTGTTATCGTTGGTTGGTTATCTTCATCACCTCCGTCTTCTGTATGTTCACTTTGAGTCCTGTTTCCGCTGCCAGCCTCTTCAGCCAGTTTGTTGGTTTTCGCTTGCGAGTCCTCGAGTTTGTGTGACATAAAACATATATCATCCGCGAAATCCAGATCTTCTGGAGTCTTCTCATCGGTGGTCCAGCGTACTCCTGTCTCCTTGCTCCCCACAGCCCGACGCATAATGCAGTCCACCACAATTAGGAATATCATCGGTGATAACAGGTAGCCCTTTCTTGCTCCTGTATGCACTTCGAACGCCTCGCTAACTTTTCCTTTGTGGATCACCTGACACGTGGCACTGTCACGTAACCAGTTGTTGAATGGGGTTGATAAAGATTTTGGCATTGCACGACCTAGTGTTGAAATAGTTTCCGAATTACTTCTCGGTCAACGCTGTACTGTTGAAGACCTTTTCGAAATCGATGTAGTTGAGGTGGAGAGAGGCTTGACTGCCATTCTATGCTTCGTTCTGTGGTGACGATGAGTAGAGTTGCAATTTGATCAGCACATGATTTGCCTTTTCGGAATCCAGCTTGTTCCAGGTTGGAGTCCTGTATCCAGTGTATCCTTTATTCTCTCCAGGATGATGCGACTTAGTATTTTAGTCGGCGTGGACAAGAGCATGATTCTACGCCAGTTCTTGCACAGGCCTAGGTCGCCCTTCTTTGGAAGCTTGACGACGTAGCCTTTCTTCCAGTCAGTAGGCACATTCCCTTCCTCCTAAAGCTTTTGTAATAATGGCGTCAGAACACCTGTCGCAATTTCAGTACTTTGGGATGAATTCCGCCCGGTCATACTGCCTTTCCGAACTTCAGTAGCTTGATCGCATTAAGAACTTCTGCTTTCGCTGGAGGAATGGTGTCCACTGGCAATTCCGTGTGTGCTGTTGGTGGTATTTCTGGGAGAGTTACCGGTTGTGGTCGATTCAAGAGTCCTTCAAAGTGATCAGCTCATTGTTTTATTTGTTTCTCCTCCTTGGTGATCAGGTCCCCTTTGAGTATCTTTTATTGGTTTCACTATCTGGGTTGATCTCTTCCCGGATAGAGACTTGGTTATCTGAAATAGTCTCCTGATGTCTCTTTTGCCTGCGGCCTGTCTGTTCTACTTCAGTTCCCAGTGTTTTGTAGAATTGTCATTTGTCTTTCCTAGCACTCTACTTCACTTCACTCTATTCAGTGCAGTGTGCATTAAACTCAGATTCTCCTTCTGTTGTCCATCTTTGCATTGAGTCATCTCTCTCACCATCCTCCTTTCCTCGTTTCTATTAGCTTCCATGTAGGTGTCCGTTGAGAGCCATTGCTTGTCTTGCCTTTTCTTTCTTACTAGAACAGTTGTACACGTTTCCTTGAACACCAACTTCAGAGAGTTCCAATGTTCTTCCACAAAGGTTTCCTCAGTGATGTCTGATCTGGTATGTAGTGAAGGAATCCCTTGTAGTTTTGTCCTTCAGTTTCTGAATGTTGAACTTAAATTGTGGCCTGTCTCCATCTGTTTTCATGGATTTTAGCTTCACCTTGAAGGTTCCTTGAACTAGACGATGGTCTAAGCCCACATCTGCTCCTTTTCTCGACTTTGTATCCAGCAGGCTGCGTGTCCACTTCCTTGAGTGACATTCAGATGAAATCTATTTGGTTTGTGATATGTCCGTCAGGCGAAGTCCATGCTACTTTGTGTATATCCTTGTGTTTCTACACGCTGCATCCGATCACCAAATCATTGGAAGAGCAGAAGTCTGCGAATAATTCTCCGTTCTCATTCATTTTTCCTACCGAGAGCCTCTTGGCCCATGTTGCGTTCTCTTCCTGTATTATCAGGTCCCAGTTTGGCGTTCATATCGCCTATGAGGATTTTGATGTCATCATTCGGGATGTTGTCCATTACTGTTTGTAGTTGTCTGTAAAAATCCTCCTTTTCTTGTTCCGCGTTGTTTGCAGCACTGTGCGTAGCATTCGATAATTGTTACCTTCCTTCCTTCCTTTTGAGTTGAATCTTGCTGTCATGATCCTGGATGAAATTGGTTCACACTGCATTAGGGCTTTGGCTGCCACTGGCGAAATCATGATAGCCACTCCCTCAGTGTGTTCGTGGTTGTCGTCTGGGTGACCGGAGTAGATTAATTACTCTCTAGTTGACAGTTTTGACAGTCCACTTCCGTTCCGCCTGCTTTCGCAGATACCCAGCACTTGTATGTCATATCTTCGCATTTCTTTGGCTACCTGAGCAGCCTTCCCAGTTTCATACATTTTAAGTACATTCCACGTCCCCATTCTTATTCTTGCTTGCTTTCATCGAGAGAAGACACATCGGCTGACTGACTGGCTTCCCGAAGGCGGGCTTTCATCAGCCTGCTGTGTCATTTCGCCTCTCCGATTCGAGCAAAGAATAAGATTGTTGCTTTGTGAACTTTTTATATTGCTAATATATTTTTTTGTGTGTTGAAGTTTCTCTAGCAGTTTGATAGTTTTATTGGTGTAGGGCTGTTAGCCCTACGCCCAACCCTCACTCTTTACCCGGGCTTGGGACCGGCTAGAAATCTAACAAGCTATTTAACTAGGCGGGGTTTTGACTAGAGATTAGTTAATACCTAATGTCCATTCAGAATATCTATCTCAGTCCTACATAAGATCAATGGTGACCCGAATAGCCCAGTGGTAATGTCTCTGACTGCAGCACTGGCTGACACGGGTCCGAATCTCAGAGGGGACCTGAGTTCCTTCAAGATAGCGGATACGCCTTACTGACGAGTGCCAACTAGCACGAAACCTAGGTTCAAGGTTTCTTGTCGATTGCTTCCAACCACCTTACAACGATATATATATATATCATTAGTATATTCATAAAAATGATGACAATCGGTAAGTCTTCGATTGTCCAGCAATGGTAGGAATGCTCGCAAACCAAGATGCGTAGGTGGTCCAGTTTCGATTCTCGTCCGACATACACTCTTACATAGCCTCTCCTGAGGAAGTCCTACTCACTGCCTTCACGTGGCGGAGGTGTTTGTCACCAAAGTGAGAGGGCGAAAGCGGATGCCCGGCGCTCTTCACCGGGTTGACTGTCCATTGGATGACAGTCTAGGGGAGATGGCTAAACCCTGATTCCAAACCTCCAACGACTGGCGTATGAAGCTCACTAGAGCTCACCGGCAGACGTATGGACAGAGGGCTTGTTGGATGTCCTGGATGTCTGTCCCCATTCAAAAAGGCATATGAACCGAACTCCGGTCACCGGCTGCCAATGGATAGTGGACTCCCTACTCCACTCCTACTGCCTTGTAGGTCACACTTGGTTGTGTAAAGGCTAGAGCTGCACTCAAACAAAAGGCCGAGCGATTCTGGGGACATCACTCGTACCAAATTCCCATGAAATTTCATGAACTCTCTTTCCGGGTCTACCAAGCCTCCATACGATCCGTTCTCCTGTATGGCTGTGAAACCTGGCCTTTTCGCGCGGAAGATGTTCGCAGACTCGAGGTAGTAGACCATTGGTGCCTAAGGTACATTCTGCATGTTCGTTGGCAGGACAACCTCTCCAACGAAGTGCGCCGTCGTTGCTACAACATCAACCAAATTCCAGTACTGGTCCAACAACGTCGCCTTCGGTGGTCTGGCCATGTTCTGCGCCGACCAGATGACGATCTGGTCAAATCAGTTTTAAATCCCTCGTCATTACCATCTTGGCGATGTCGCAGGGGTGGACAGCTGAAAACATGGCTTGGTACAGTCAAGGCTGATATGGAGTGCCTGGGGCTACAAACCGTCTACGGACTCCGTCTGTGGAACAAGAATTGGATAACCCTGTCGCAAAACCTTGCATCAGATCGCCGCGCCTGGGCAGCGATGATTCGAGATGTTCATGAAGCCGGCTCATCCTCCCGTAGGAGATAGCCGAAGTAAAGTAAAGTAAGTTAAACCTAGCTTAGCCCATATTAATAAATCCGGTGAAGAGTTGCGATTGAACATATGAGGCTAAGAACCCACCCACCTTGTGGAGACAACGCTACCGCTGCGGAAACTCCAAAGCATAAATGCTTGAAGCTTTATGTTCCGCTCGGGAGAGGACAGAAAATGTAGGAAAGGACATGATGTTAAAAAAATTTTTACCTTGTAATTTAAGTCACCAAGGTAATGCGCAAGATTTCACCACTATCTCCTTCTATGTACTACATAGATTTGGTTTTAATCGTTTGATTGTGATTGCCCCACGAAAACGTAGCAAGCTGGGCTTATTTTTTCCTATTGATTATTTTGAACGTCTTCAAATTGTGTTCGCAACAGTGCCAGTGTTCAATAGACGGCACGCAATCTCATTGTCTTATCCCTGTAAGCCCTTTAATCTCAGACTATTTGGTATGTGCTCAGAAATGCGAAAAATAACCCTGCTTGTTGTTCTTCAAATATATATATGCGCTTTGCCACGTTATACTGTTTCTAGTTAAACTTTGTTTCTGAACGAAAAAATTCATGAACTTCGTCTTTTTGCTTTCAAGCATATTCGTGTAAATATTATTCCATAAATAGTTAACCCGTTTTAACTCTTAATGATTCAACAACTTACATTGTTCCATTTGTCTTAGTTCCTACCACTTACCTCTTTGTCATTGTGGAGAAAGTATGTTCAAATCTTTTGTGTAATTTATACTTTTTGTATTGTTTAGGTGGTAGCCAGTTGCTTCTGTAAAATGTAAGATGCTGCTACAGGACTGAACTACGTCTACCCCTAGCTTAGTGATAGGGAGTGAAGTGATAGAAGATGTTGACCACTTCACCTATTTGGGAAGTTGTATCAGCACCAACGGACTGATTGGTGACGGAATCTCAGCACGGATCTAAAAATCTCGAGCTGCTTTCGCTAACTGACGCCATCTCTAGCGTAGGCGTAACATCCGGTTATCAACCAAGGGACGTATGTACTGCCCAGCAGTTCGCTCCGTCCTTCTCTATGGCTCTGAAACATGGCCAATACGAGTTGAAGACATGAAAAGGTTGACTGTTTTCGATCATAGATGTCTACGATCTCTTTCTCACGTTAGGAGGTGGTATAATAAGGTAAGTAATGTTGACGTTAGGCGTAGAGTGTTGGGCAAAGAGGGAAAATCAGTCGAAGAGGCTATAAAGTTACACAGATTGAGATGGCTATGTGACGTGCTGCACATGCCTAACCATCGCCTCCGCCGACGGACGGGCATTACTAGCTGATATAGGTGGAGGTTGGAAAAGAGTAAGTGGTGGCCAAACAAAAACATGGCCTCATCAATCCATGAAATCCTTGACACTTAAACTGAGTCAGGTAGGGAGGGAGATGCAGACTTCCGGGAAGGGGCCCGCCCTCGGGATTCTAAGAATCAATGAAGGCTGGAGACAATAGGTGACATGGCTCAAACTTATCGTTGTCAATGGCTTACGCAGATGTATTGAGTCTCTGTAATCTTTCATATCCCTTTCTACCATTACTCATTCTGTTTCACTCTTAAACTTGTCAAGACTCTATTGATTCTCTTCACTCATCTTCTTGTCTACCTTTGTGTGCTATTTGGAACGTGGCAACTGGAACTGCTGCACTTCGGTACCAAGTTCTATGTTGAATCCAGCCAGCCAGCCATAGGGCTTCAACAACACATCTCCACTTTGTCCTATCTTCTGCCGTCCTCTTCAGCTTCGACCACGATTGCCCACAATCTCTCATATTTTCCTCACACAATCTCCTCCATGTCACACTAGGACAACGCACTCGTCGCTTCCCGTTGGGATTCCACTCGAGCGATGGTGTGGCGCACGATGTCATCCGATGGTCTGCCCAATGTATGGCCGATCCATCTCCACTTTCTCCTACAAATTTGTTGAGCGATCTGTTCTTGGCTGGTTTGTTAATCACAGTTTCTTGTTACATATTCTTTCTGTCCATTTGGACTTCAGTGTGGAGTCAGAGAAGGTGGCAGCTGTTGATGAAAGTCTGCAGTGGCCTGTTGTGCAAGTCCTTTTGGTGACACGCCAAGTTTCTGACCCGCATAGAAGGACCGACTTGACACTGGTGTTGCAAATCCGAATCTTGTTATTTACGTTAAGTGCAGAAGATTTCTAAATTGGTTTTTGGGTTGATGAAGGCGTATCTTGCGTTCTCCATTCTGGTTGGTGTTGACATCTTCTTCCGTTCGGACTGCCTGTAGTTGAAACGATGCTGCCTAGATAAGTGAAGGAGGCAACCTCTGTCAAATCTCTCCCGTTGATGGTGATTGGTGCTGGTTGTTGTGGTTGCGTTGGTTGGTTATCTTCACCACCTCCGTCTTCTCTGTGTTCACCAGCAGTCCTGTTTTCGCTACCAGCCTCTTCAGCCAGTTTGTTGGTTTTCGCTTGCAAGTCTTCGAGTTTGTAAGTTAAGTCACCAAGGTAATGCAAGATTTCACCACTGTCTCCTTCTGTGTACTACATAGATTTGATTTTAATCGTTTGATTGTGATTGCCCCACGAAAACGTAGCAAGCTAGGTTTATTTTTCCTAGTGATTATTTTGAACGTCTTCAAATTGTGTTCGCAACAATGCCAGTGTTCAATAGATGGCACGCAATCTCATTGTCTTATCCCTGTAAGCCCTTTAGTCTCAGACTATTTGGTATTTACTCAGAAATGCGGAAAATAACCCTGCTTGTTGTTCTTCAAATATATATATGCGCTTTGGCACGTTATACTGTTTCTAGTTAAACTTTGTTTCTGAACGAAAAAATTCGTGAACTTCGTCTTTTCGCTTTCAAGCATATTCGTCTAATTATTCCATAAATAGTTAACCCGTTTTAACTATTAAATTATTCAACAACTTACATTGTTCCATTTGTCTTAGTTCCTACCAATTACCTCTTTGTCATTGTGGAGAAAGTATGTTCAAATCTTTGGTGTAATTTATACTTTCTGTATTGTTTAGGTGGTAGCCAGTTGCCCCTATAAAATGTAAGATGCTGCTACAGGACTGGACTACGTCTACCCCTAGCTTAGTGATAGGGAGTGAAGTGATAGAACATGTTGACCACTTCACCTATTTGGGAAGTTGTATCAGCACCAATGGATTGATTGGTGACGAAATCTCAGCAAGGATCCAAAAAGCTCGAGCTGGTTTCGCTAACTTACACCATCTCTGGCGTAGGCATGACATCCGGCTATCAACCAAGGGACGTGTGTACTGCTCATCAGTTCGCTCCGTCCTTCTCTATGGCTCTGAAACATGGCCAATACGAGTTGAAGACATGAAAAGGTTGACTGTTTTTGATCATAGATGTCTACGATCTCTTTCTCACGTTAGGAGGTGGTATAATAAGGTAAGTAATGTTGACGTTAGGCGTAGAGTGTTGGGCAAAGAGGGAAAATCAATCGAAGAGGCTATAAAGTTACATAGATTGAGATGGCTAGGTCACGTGCTGCGCATGCCTAACCATCGCCTCCCCCGACGGACGGGCATTACTAGCTGATATAGGTGCAGGTTGGAAAAGAGTAAGTGGTGGCCAAACAAAAACATGGCCTCATCAATCCATGAAATCCTTGACAGTTAAACTGAGTCAGGTAGGGAGGGAGATGCAGACTTCCGGGTTGGGGCCCACCCTCGGGACTCTAAGAATCAATGAAGGCTGGAGACAATAGGTGACATGGCTCAAACTCATCGTTGTCAATGGCTTACGCAGATGTATTCAGTCTCTGTAATCTTTCATATTCCTTTCTACCATTACTCATTCTGTTTCACTCTTATACTTGTCAAAACTCAATTGATTCTCTTCACTCATTTTCTTGTCTACCTTTGTGTGCTATTTGGAACGTGGCAACTGGAACTGCTGCACTTCGGTGGCAAGTTCTATGTTGAATCCAGCCAGCCAGCCAGGGATGGCAGTGTTGTTCATGATTCAAATTTTAACTGTCCTGGATACTTCTTTTGTATTGTGTTGAGCTTATTACTTAGTCTCCTATGCGGTGTCAATTAGAAGTTAATGTACTAATCAAATCTTGTATTCTCTGGTTCGCGTATCTTTGTATTTATAGCGGATACTACTTTAACTGTAACTACGAATATGCCATCAGTTCAACAGTATCAATATCATCATCATCATCTATCAAACGATTCATCAGTATGTTATTATTCTACTCCACAGAATGCTCAAGCACTAATTACTAGTCAGTCTACAAGTACTAGTATGGCTACTGCCTTTTTGGCCAATAATCCTTATCCAGCTATTGATCTCACTCGATCCTCAGATAGTAATAACAGTAGCAATAATAATACCATTACTATTACTAACATACCAACAAGATACTACTACTATCGCCACGATTGCGACAGAAAATACTACTTCGACAGAGGGTGCTAGCACTGTTACTACCATCAATAGCCGACTAATTTCTGCCGTCCCATCATCTGTTGTTGGTGGTGGCGATGGTGTTCACTGTGTGAACACTTCTCAAAACCATCGTGAACAACATTCAAAAACCTCAGAGATATCCACGGATGCTAAAGAGAATCAACCACCACAACCAGTTCTTACCATTCATCAAGTGAGTAATAATAATAATCGTGTGTGTTTATTTCTCAACCCCCTATCTTACTTTTACTTGTTTTTTTCCTTAACCAACTGATCGCTTTTTTTGAAGTGTACATGTGAACGGCTAATTACTTCTCGTTTGCGCTCACACCGTCCGTATAAGTTGACCTTTTTCCTGGAGTATATGAAACCAAAAAAGAAGTCATTAATGTTGCTCTACTGCTGAACCCCTGAGGGGAGAGGAGTGACTGCCCATTACACACGGTTTGTCTGAAGTGGTTTTTGAAGTTGTGCGCATATTAAGGTTTTACCGTGGGCCCACACAAGCCATGGCTACGGAGTAATTCGGGTTGTACACTTTTCGGGAATTACCGTTTTCCTTAACCCCACCCCCTCTCTCTCTCCAGAACTGAGAGTGGCAGCTTAGTTGACTTGCTGGTCATCTGGAGGAAACAGCTTACCGCTGTTATTTCACTTCTTAGCAGGTACGACCAACAGACGCTCACAGACCTCCAACATAGTATAAGCAATTTACTTACACTACAACGGTAACTGCTTTTAATGTAACCGCTATCAAAATGATCGTTCTGGCATGATAGAACCCGTAGTAACGTTAGTTACAGCCCAGGGTGGTTTGTTGGGTCATTGTCTGACCACCACGTTAAGATTTCAGCTATCTGTCGGACTGCCAGTATCTTGATACGGTGGTGAGGATTGCATTGTTGAATAAGAAGGTTACTCCTGAAACTTGATGACAAATTCATGCTGCTGTGGGGCTTTCACATATCAGTAAGGCGTTTCTTTTGTCCATTCACCAGGCTCTAGGGAGAATAATGACAAAAGGGACGTTAAAGTGGTCACCCAAAGCAAACCAGAATGATTCAGGTGAATAATAATAATAGTAATTTGCTTTATTCCAAAACAGTACTTGTGATACAGAATGGAATTCTCAGCATTTTGTTTACTACAGTATTGCATCCACTTAGTACATTATCAATAAATAGAATTCTACATAAATTAAGGAAATCTCAGTTCATTATGACAACAACATATTGGCATGTCGGTAGCAAAGCCAAAGTTGAACAGTGTTTGAAGGTGTTAGAAAAGTAGGCGCTGTCATATTTACTAGCGTAAGCGGAAGAAAGAAACAAAGCAGCACATAACGGAAAAGGAACATAGAGAGAGAATAGGAAAAGAAGGAAAGAAAACGTTGTACCTATAAATGATAGGAGTTGGAAAGACGAGATCCAGTTGTTCTACTGACTATTTAATGAATTATAGGTGTCACGCCTAATGCTTTCTTTATCGCACAGAACACGAGCTAAGTAGGGTATGGTTGAGTTTTTGTACTTGCTTGCTGGTGCGAGCATATAGTTTTCTATATAGGCTTCTGGTTTTGCCTGATGAGATGCAAGGGGAGGGGAGAGTTGTGAGTGAAGAGGGTGGTGTGAGTTAGATAAAGTGGATTTGGCCCATTTTTCACATGAGTCCATGTGCCTGTCGACCAGAATATTAACAAGCTGGTTAAGTGGCACGTTGCTTACCCTGCTGACCTTTAACATCCTGCATAACATGTTATAGTCTTTCTTCAGTAGCCCGGGAAAAACTAAGGGGGAACAATAGAGAATAATAAACAGAATGCGAGAGTTAATGAATTGTAGGAGTAAGGGTTGGGTTATACCAGAATTTCCTAACTTCTTGATGTAGAAGGTAAGACGGAATATTTTCTTAGAAATCGTCAAGATATGAGAAGACCAGGAGAGATCAGCAGATAGAATGACGCCTAGGTATTTGATTTCCGACTTGGTTTCTATTTCAGTGCCATCTGTGTTGTAGGTCGGATTTATGCCTAAAGGTGAAATTGACTGTTTGGCATTTGGAGGGGTTTAAGGTAACACCGTTTTCCTTGGACCACTGGCTGATTTCTGATAGAAAACCATTTAGTTTAGAGCAGTCACTTTGACATTTGATAGGCAAAGATACTGTCAGATAGTCAGCATATTTGATAAAATTAATGTCATTTGAAGATGGTAAGTCATGTAGAAAGAAAGAAAAGAGAAGTGGGGAGAGTACAGCACCTTGGGGGACACGGGCTTCAGTACCACAGCAGAGGAGGATTTACCTTTGTATACGGTGTACTGCATTCTGTTAGAGAAGTAGGAATGCAGCCAGTTAGTGACCCAGGACTCAGTTTTTGTCAAAGAGAGCTTATTTAGCAGGAGACACATTAATGAATGATAAAGAATTCCCATACTTAAAAAGTGTCACAATAATAATTGCCAGTTTCAAATCGAATTGTTGACATTGTTCCAAGTGTCTATGGTTTAGGTTATGCAGAGTTTAACGTAAAAGTTAAGAATTATGATTTGCTTTTACTGGCCAAGCTAACATTTAAGCACTGAACGAATGCGACCGCACCGAAATGACCGAGGAACGTTGATTGAGAAAGTTAGTGGAACTAGGTAAATAACACTATTAATCATGAATAAAATATGCTCAATGAAATATTATGACATTAAACGCGGAACATTTGGTCAGTTTTAGGTTAGGACTGGAAAAGATTAAGCTAAGGTTTAAGTTGAGGACCGAAATCGGGTCAGGTTAACCTGATAAGGGGGATATTAGGGTTGAATCGAGTTAGATTAAGACCAGTTTAGGAGTAATTCTGCATCAGTCAGTGATGGGTTAAAGATGGAAGAGAGTTAGGATTAGAAGACTTAGGTGAATATGGTTTATTTGCTTTTGGGGGGAAAAGGATCCTATATAACAGCTTCATGACAACATTGCATTCATGATTTTCATAAATATATGTCCTTTATGCGTAAAATTAGCTTTTTTCAAGTGATTGGTGAGGTAGGTACGTTGCACTGCTTCAGCGCTTGAAGTTTCACATCTACCTTTTTTAGATGTTCTTCCCTGGTTAAATCTGCTACCTTGAGTTAATGATGGTAAACTCCTTCTATTGTGGTATCATTACTGCACGCCTAAACTGTAATTGGGTGTCTCGTGGTCACTACGGGGTCGATCATTCTCTTGGACCTGATAAATTGTGTGGTGATTTGTGTTAATTCAGATAGACAAGGTTCAGTCAAGGAGTCATGTGTGTTTCTGAAACCGAACGTCAATCGATCATCCGAGGAAACATGTGGTGTGTGAATATGTCATGCTAGCTAGTCCTATTGGTTCATGGGCTTGCGTATGACCTTGTGATTTTGGTTAATGCCTGTCGACTTTGTTCACAGTGAGTACTTCAATCAAGTGTGACAATGCAGATTTAGTCTGTCTGTCTGTCTAGTTGTCTATCTACCTGCTTAGATTTATGTTTTCCTACGTTCGTCAGCTATTACCTAGAACCTTACAACTGTTCACTGGTGGTACTGAAAACGAAGTGACAAAGAACTGACACAGAGGTATCCTTATATCTCTTAGCCGATCATGATATTATTTAATAAATAGTGACGTCCATCCACCTTATCGAAGAATGCTGTTGGACGGTAAAACTATTATTATATTGTTATTATTATTGTTCCCTTGAGTTCCTAGTGGAACATAGCGCTTCAACTGCACGTCTCCACTAGCTTCTGTCTTCTGCTGTACTTTTCACCTGCATCCATGTTAGTCCATACTGTTTCAACTCCTCTTCACACGATCTCCTCCATGTCACCCTTGCACTGACGTCCCACTCACCGCTTCCCTTTCGGGTTCCACTCGAGCTATGGCCTGACGCTCGATGTCACCCAGCCACCTCCTCAGTGAGTGTCCAACCCCTCTCCACTTTCTCCTGCATATTTGTTGAGCGATTGGTTCTTGTTTTGTTTCTTCCCATAGCTTCTTGTTGGCGATTCTTTCTTACCATCCGATCTTCAGTATACAGCGAAGACAGATGTTGATAAAGGTGTGCAACAGGCTGTTGGAAATATTCTTTATGACCCGCCGCCAACAAGTTTCTGATCCATCCGTATAGAAGAACTGACTGACTTGACGTTTGTATTGAAAATCCGAATCATTTTGTTGTTGATTGTTGAGTGACGAAGATTTCCAGATTGGTTTCAGGTTGATGAATGTGTTTCTCGCCTTCCCGATTCTCGATTTGACATCCTCGTCCGTTCCTCGTGTAGTTGAGACAATGCTCCCTAGATAAGTGAATGAAGTAACCTCTTTGAAATCCCTCCCGTTGATGGTGATTGGCGCTGGATGTTGCTACTGCAGTTGTTGTTGTTGTTGGTTGTTTATTTTGATAACCTCGGTCTTGTCTATGTTCACCTGGAGTCTTGTCTTCTCTGGCTGCTTCTTCGACCAGTTTGTGGTCGGTTTTCGCTTGTAAGTCTTCGATTTTGTGTGACATCAAACACAAATCATCCGCGAAATCTAGGTCCTCTAGGTTCTTCATGTCGGTCCAGGATATCCATGTCTTCTCGTTTCCCACTGTCTGACACATAATCCAGTCCACTACAATTAGGAGTATCATTGGTGATAATAAGCACCCTTGTCTGACTCCTGTGTTCACTCCAAACGGTTTGGACGGTAAAACTACTCACATAATTTCTACACGTGACTCCATCGACCCTACACAGACACGTATATGATGATATACAGTCACTGTGGTAACAAAGATATTTAGGAATGAAAAACAATCACGTTACTTTGTTTGTACGATTCATCACATCCATACAGTTGTGTGAGTGAGTGTTTCTTCATGATGATATAGAGGAGGTAACTTGACCATTAAACGATAGGAGAGATCTACCAGTCTCCAAACACCGTATGTTCTGTACTTTATATACATCTTATGCCCGCGTTTTCTTCAATAATTCCTTCTACTGTTCCTTTTTTGATGAATATTGTTTTAGTAACACTCAACACAGATTCAGATTATTTGACTGAAAATAAAAGGCCTAAAGCCTTTGTTAATCCTTTTTTAATAAGTATCTGGGCTTAGTCTAATCCCTTCTTGAACTAATCAATTAAAGGCGCAGACACCAATTTCTTTTTTTTTGAGTTCGTTTCAAGAGTTAATGAGTCGATTTCAGAACAAGTACTCTACGTGGATATAATTCCTCCTTAGTTTTTAAACTCCTGTTGCTGTTTTTCTGAGAAGTTTTGATCTGGCAGCGGAAGCACAAGGGAACTCTGAACATTGTGATGTGATCTCTGCCGACAGTATGATAAGAAGAGAAGAGATTCAAACTGTTAAGTCTCTTCTCGTCGGATAAACCAGTCATAGTGTGGTGAAAGCTGTCTACTATTCAAAATGGTAGACAGTAATTGACGTCAATGTTTATGTCCCCAATATTGCTCGTGAGAAAATGAGAACAAAGGCTTTGCATAGGCGGATACAGTTAGCATATAGATGATTTGACACAGCCACAAAGAGATGCAAGGTTAACTTTCTGTGAGAAACAACCAATCAACAGACTGTATTTCCAATAACAATAATTTACAATAATGTACTTTAAATCTCTAAATATGTGTTTATTTTCCTTAATAAACGATATGTTGCCTGGCCCTTCTCTTCTGTGGTTACAATAGCACGAATCCTACGTTTAGTAGCCTTCCTTTGAACCTATTCTAGAATATGACTGACTCTCTTTTAAGACATGGGTTGGATGCACTCTTCTAGTTTTGTCACCTATCCAGAGAGATGTTTACATATACTCAGTTCACCAGGTTCAAGTTTTATGGAATTTGAACAGTACGTATTTTTTTATAGCCAATGAACTATGCTTGACTTTCGTCTAAATATATCCTGGAGAGATGTCGGAAAAGGATTTGGAACTTATCTCGTAGTGCACTGGCAATCAGCAGTGTAGAGATATCACGTCTTTGGAAATGGATAACACACATGCTCGGTGATTCTCCGCGTCGAAACGAAAGGATTTCGCCTACATCTTCATGCAGCACCGAAGCCTCAGCAATGCTTAAAGCGAAACCTGAACTTTGTGTTCAGTCAGAAACACTTTGTCTAGCTTCTTTTACTACCATAGCCTTAGTAATATTTCCTCTGTTTTTCTCTTCAGTCTTTGTTTTCCGGAATAACTGTACTACAATAAGCTCTGTGTAGGCCGTTTTTATGTTTTCCAACTATTTACAAACAATTATTGGCAACTCCAAAAAATAGGAGCCCAAACCGAAACGACCTACGAACGCACAAACGACCTTGAGAAACCAATCAGGTGACTCTGTTGTTTCTAGAAGTAATTATAGATGCTCTACACCTTTTGCGTTGTAAATTCGCTTCGGATCTTGTTTTTGATTACTGTTTGGATAAGGGACTGATTGCAAGGTCGAAAATTTGTCAATGTGGAGGTGATATGCGTATACAAAAATACACAAACTGCATTGATGGGTTTGTGTACAGGTGTAATGAGTGCCGGAAGAGAAAATCAGTTCGAGAGGGTATGTCGTTATTTTTTTTAGTTTACAGATTCCTTAGGCACTTTCTTCTCAAAGTCTAAATTACCACTATTCACACAGACAAATGGAGCAGTTACGGTCAATTGTCAAATCTCGGGTATATTCATCATGTAGTCAACCACACAAACGGTTTTCGCAATCCTTTGGATGGAACTCATACTAAATCAATCGAAAGTTTCTGGAGTCACCTAAAAAACGGATTAGATTGGTGAATAGATCTAGAAATCCAATGATATACAGTTATCTTGATGAGTTTATGTATAGAACTTGGCTTAACATGAGTATAAAGACTCCTATGAGAATCTGGGAGCTTTTTTTGCAACGTATACGAGAACGTTATCCATTGTAACTATTTTTTAACATTGCATTTCTTTTATATAAACGATTTTTTACAATTATGCGCCGTTATTTTTGAGCCTTCTGATTGATCGAGGTTGTCCTTGACAAGGTCATTTGTGCGTTCGTAAGTCGTTTCATTTTGGGCTTTTATTCTTTAGAGTTGCCCAATTATTTATCTCACTCAACTAATTAAATTGTAAATCTTATCGGTTACGTAAGACTTAGGCCTAAATTTTCAAACAGTTATTACGCATGCACTTTGGTTCGCTTTGTTACTAAATGATAAATAAATAACCTTTGACTTCTATTTTCAATCTACGTTGTATTTTGTAAACACCTTAAATAACTGTACATCTCTGAAAAGTGAAGTTACCGAACTCATGTGTTCTTAATTCGATTTTTAACAGTTACCGTTAGTTTTCTCAAACTGAAGCTGTGTCAGAGTTTAGTGTTCGAATTGTTTTGCAGATTTTAAACACTGTCTTTGTCTGTGTAGAATGTGCATGCGGTGAGTAACTGAATACAGAGTCTTCTGAACACCTTGAGGGGCAATCTTCGTATGTTTGGCATGCGATTCGCCCTTGTAAAATGTAAGATGATGCTGCAGGACTGGACTACACCGACTCCTAGATTAGAAATAGGAAGTGAAGTGGTAGAGCACGTTAACCGCTTCACTTACTTGGGAAGCACCATCAGCCAGTGCCAACAGGTTGACCTCTGACGAAATCTCAGCATGAATACAGAGGGCTAGTTTCGCATATGCCAGTTTACGCCGTCTCTGGCGTAGACGTGATATCCGACTGGCTATCGACCAAAGGGCGTGTGTACTGCTCGTCAGTCCGCTCCTTTATGGCTGTGAGACCTGGCCATTGAGAGCAGAAGACATGAAAAGATTAGCTGTGTTCGATCATAGGTGTCTGCGTCCTATCTCCCGTGTGAAGTGGTAGAATAAGGTGAGCAATATTGAGGTAAGGTATCAGTCGAGTGCTAGGTAAGGCGGGGAAATCAATCGACGAGGCTGTGAAATTACATCGACTGAGATGGTTAGGACATGTGTTACGTATGTCTAGTCATCGCCTTCCTCGACAATGGGCAGTCTTAGCTGACATAGGATTGGTCAGGCTGGAAAAGAGCTAGCGGCGGTCAGACGAAACCATGGCACCAGTCAATGAGATCTACAACAGTTAGTCTAAGCCAGCCACGTAGGAAGGTGTAGACTTCCTAACTGGTTGGGGTCCTCGGGATGGTAGAAACCAATGGCTGGAATCAATTGGTGACGTGGCTAGCCCAAAATCGTTCTCAATGGCTGACCGGTGCAGATGCATCCACTCCTTGTGACTTATGATTTCCAATTAAACTGTTTTGTTCTTCGTTATTACAATTCCTTTGTCTCACACCTCTTTTTACTGTCTCTAATATGCATTTCTCCTACTTTTTTTCTCTTGCTTTGTGTGCTAGAAGGAGGGAGTGTGGCGACTTGAACTTCCGCACATATGTGCAAAGTTTTATGTCGAAAACAGATAGACAGACAGTAACTGAATACTTGTGTGTAAAGTGTAATTTTATCGCTTAGTAGCGCTACTGCGAATTCTAATTGTAGTTTGAATTAAGGTGTCATTTAAGTATAATGGTATGTTCATGTCATTGACTCTCGTTTTATTTTCCTTCTTTGGGTGTTCTTTTTAGAGTACTACTGGTGGACGGAAAAAGGTGAGTAATTCCTAGTGTCTCAAATCCCTGCTTTTATTTCTTGTAATGCCTATTTTATCCATGATTTTCGTTTCAGTTGGGTTCTCTGATGTGGCTTATTTAATTGCGAAGCTTTCGTCGTCCTTCTGGACGTCATATTCATTTTTACTAGCTGTCTATAGCCTATCTATCATGTGTTTGGTGATAAGTATGCAGATTGCAGTTGCACAATTAGATTTCACATACACTCGCCCCTTTTTTTTGCGCGCTGCATAAGTGAATTCTAAGTTTCAGCTGAATTTTAACCTACTATGTTTTTTTCAAATTATCTTGAAAAATGTAGATGAATGAATATACGAGGAAATCATTGTAAAATCACCTTGGGCTAGCTCATACGACCACGGACGACGGTATTGTCAAGCATAATCATGAAATAAAAAAAAAACACATGGGTGTGTAGCTCATCTTCTGGAAGCAGATGTTAGGAAAATTTTGAATTTTGAAAAAGAGCTGAAGGAGGTAAACGCATAGTGAGTGAGTGAGTGGACAGATTACATCGATCGATCATAGGTGTCTGCGTTCTATCTCCCGCGTAAAGTGGTATAATAGGATGAGCAATATTGAGGTTAGGCGTCGAGTGCTAGGTAAGGCGGGGAAATCAATCGACGAGACTGTGAAATTATATCGACTGAGATGGTTAGGACATGTGCTACGTATGCCCAGTCATCGCCTTCCTCGACAATGGGTAATGTTAACTGATATAGGGTCAGGCTGGAAAAGAGCTAGTGGCGGTCAAACCAAAACATGGCACTAGTCAATGAAATCTAAAACAGTCCTCGGGACGACAGAAATCAATGGTTGGAAACAATTGGTGACATGGCTCAAAGTGATCGTTCTCAATGGCGAGTGCATATGCATCCACTCCTTGTGACTTATGATTTCCAATGAAACTGTTTTATTCTTCGTTATTACTATTCCTTTGTCTCACACCTCTGTTTACTGTCTCTAATATGCATTTCTTCTACTTTCTTCTGTTGCTTTGTGTGCTGCAAGGAGGGAGTGTGGCGACTTGAACTGGCGCACATATGTGCAAAGTTCTATGTCGAAAACCGACCGACCGACTGACATCGGTTGTAGATGCAGATCCACGAAACTAGTCGAACAGCTGATGGCGAGTTTACATAGCGATGACTAGAGTGATATCAGATTTTGGGATTTCCGACACCAATATAGACGACTTCGACGCCTTTATTGTTGTAGGACGGAAGCTGATCCAAGAGATAACTGGTATTGTTGCATGTTTACTTGTCTAAAAGGTCGAGAGGCACACCTAAAAATTTGGGGTACAAACTTTGTATCTATGCCTTGTTGATGATATTTTCTTTCGTTGTCAATCGTTTTAACAATCTACAGTGGCGTGTTTTGGTCTTAATGCGTTCTACTGTGTATAGCTTACTAAAATTTCCTGAGTTATGCACAGTCTCAAGAAGTACTGACAATGACAAAATAGATAGATAGATATTAATTGGTTATACAATCTGCGTGGTTCTACTTGAAAATGATGATATCAAAACTGCTAAACTGCCTCAACAATACCGTTGGGCTGCTAGGGTTTGAGGTCAAGAGTATCTAGAGTACAAATTTAGTTTTGGGAATGAAGAGAAGTATTTTCAACAAGATGGCGCATCAGAACTCTGTCAACAGTAATCACGCACCAAATACTTCTTGGAGACAGTCCAGGGTCAAAAGCCCCAGTGGCTAATCTTCATTTTATTCAAACAAAATCACAATGTGAAGGCAACACATCAGACAACCACAAAGAGACGCATTTAAATTAGGGATTCAAACAAGAACAGAGACAAATTATAGAGGTTAAGTAGAGAGGTTATATATATAAACGTCAAAATAATAAGTGATATGTATAACCTTAAAGAAAAAAAGGATAATAATTACACAGTTAGTTGAAGTATTCGAACAATTGTCCTCTCACAAAAGCACTCAGCATCAAAACGAAGATGAGATCCGGATTTTCAACTCCAATGTGAAGTCAGTCAGTGCTAATTAACACACGGATCAGAGACTTGCACTGCGCGTCATAAAGAGCATCTCAAACAAACTACAGACCTTCATCAACAGCCAGTTGTCTTCGCTCAATACTACTCAAGATCAGATGGCCGGCCGGCCAGAAAAGATCAACAACAGGGAAGGATCTCTGGGAGCGAATCAACACAGCAGGAACCGATTGTGAAACAAATAGGCAGGAAGAAATGGTGGCGGATGGATTGGCTGGCCATACTCTGAGGAAACAAGCCATCAAGTGAGTGACATCACTAGACAAGCCATTGCTCGAGTGGAACCCGGCCGAAAGGGAAGCGGCGGCGAGTTGGTCGTCAGTGCAAGGGTGAGGGTGACTTGGAGGAGGTGATGTGAAGAGGAGATGAAAAGGTGTGGGCAGAGTTGGAGCCAGGTGAAGACTCTAGCAGAGAACCGAATGCAATGGAGACGCACGGCTGAAGCCCTATGTTCCTCTAAGAATTAAAGGAAACAATAATATAATAATAACAGTTGTTCTCTTACAACCGTCGGTGAACTCCAAAGGAGATATACATTAGCGAAGGTACGAAATTCGTTGGACCTGATAGTGAATCAAAACTGTCTGTATCGGAACTGGTTGGTGGTCAGATAGTGAATACGATGGCAAACAGCAGCATATAATGGAACCAAAATCCACTACACGCTGCTAGTGAAGGAGTAGAGGAAAAGTCGATTAGGGGATATACTTCGAACAAAGTGTTCACAGATGAATCATCAATAACGAATATATGACGGAATTAGTAGAAGAGAGAGACTTAACAATAGACAATTCCTACCTGTTTATGGTTCGAGTCTATTAGGAAAGATGATATTTAGAGGTATCATCAGCTGTTATGTACTGTATACTTAAGCTTTGCTTTTCAGAAGACATTGATGAAGCGTAAGCGCCTTCAAGAATGTGTCGTCGACTATTAGATGCACTAGATGTCGAAGGAGTAAACTGTATCGTGTCTGCGCATCATTAGAAAGCAGACTAGAGAAAACAACTGGACTGGTTTACTTGAGGAGGAGGTGATAATTCCCTTCCTTATCAATTCTTTGTTACTGTTTCCTTTGTCTAAAATTTTATGCTACTTATAAGTAGTAATTTGTTAGGCACCCGGTATATTATAGAGAAGGATTCTTGTACGTTGGCTTTGTGTCCGGTTTGCACCAGATGGTCCAATATCGAGCTGTTAACAGTTTTAACTACACCTTTACTTAGCCATAATGGAATATGTTCTCGAGTGAGCACGAAAAATCAAGTTCCTAGAGCAACGGCCAATATAACTCACTCCACATGCAGCACAGTTGAATTGGTAGATACAATTTGAAGTAGCTTGCTGGTCTAGGTACTTCATCTTTCAGTCGAGGTAGCACCATCGGTCGTGTAGAGAATAATACGTGTAGTTCGCCAGCATTAAAAGTTCTTTGAACTGATTTTCTTAATTCCTTCGTAATTATCTCGCTTGGTATATCGCCCATGAATTGTAGTCGTATATATAAAGTGGCTTCTTGTTTACAGACAGTGAGTGAGTTAATCTTAAACAAGTGTGTAGGATAGGCTTTTGTCAGCAATGGACTCTAACTTAGTTATTTTCTTTTAATGGAACTGTGAGTGAGCCATACTCTGAGATGATAAGACGTTTACTTTTGATATTCAAGTGTTGGTTTGTAGGGATTTGATTGTTTACAGTATTTTCATCATCAGCTGACATTAGTTAGAGAACCATTGGAAAACCAGCTGGGAGTACTGGACAGCTGTTTCGTCCTAGTTTGGGACTCTTCACCAGTGCGCACCCACACCACAGGTTCGAACCCAGGACCTTCTGGTTACAAGGCGAGCTCACAGACCATTAAGCCACTGGGACCCGATCCAATGGCCAACGCATGAATTCTAACTTCTGCCAATTCACGACATAGCGCGACCCCTAGCCAATGTCTTCGGCGAGTATTTGTCCTCACGCCCGACCTGCTGCACCCTACTGGTCACGACTTCTTACTAGAACCCCAGGCAACTGCGTACCTGAATAGGGCAAGTCACTAGTGAGCATCTCATTGATATTCAAGTGTTGGTTTGTAGGGATTTGATTGGTTACAGGATTTTGATGTTTATTGGTTTGATATCTTACCATCTTTCATCGTTATAATAGAGTTTTCTCTTCCATCTTTTCTATTAATTATCTGTCTATTTAAAGCATAAATGTAAGTCGTTTTGTTTTTTTTTGTCTCCAATTTTTCGTAGTGCTAACTAGTGTTGGTTTGTGTCTAGTTATTGTTGTTTCCATAGTTATATTTCGTCAACTATTTTTCACTTATCTCGTTTAGTCAGTGTATATATCCACTTTGTTGTGTTCTGCTTTGAAAAAAAATATGTTACAATAGAAGTTTAAAACAATTAGTTCCCTTTAATGAATTTATATAAAGCAATAAGAAGGAAGACGTAATTTGTCTGAATCGTGTGTGTAATGTATTTGCACAACACATTTCGAACAATCTGATCCATCACACACGGACTTGTCATAGGAATATATATTATGAAATTAATAAAGAGGTGAGAGGTGAGAAAATAGACTACTTAGGTCAAGTTAAAAGGACGCCATATTGAAGGTCAAAATAACAATGAAGACCACTAAACCGAATAGCAGAGGTAATAGTAAAACTGCTATGGTATCAAAACAAAATTTACCAAGGAAGGTTTAATGTGATGACGAATTGTTGCTTTGAACGCATAAAGGTGGCTTAAACTTTCTAATTGCCAGCTAGGGCTTCCACAAACTTTAGGATACGCTCTCCCACAAACACGTTTCATAGATAGGTTTAAAAGATCTGTTAACGTCAATTTTATGTCCTGTCTCTATAATATGTTTCGCAATAGAAGAGCTAGGTCTCCTGTTCTCACCGTTAATAGGTTCTGAAGATTCCATTTGTTTCTGGAGCCATTTAGGAATATGCTCTGAAGCCGGCCCTTACTTTGGCAGAGATCGATGAGTCCTCCCTCCTATGTATGTGTGTCCACACGTACATTCAAATTGGTAAATACAGTGGGATGTGACGTCATTTTTCGCATGTTCGAAGGGCTTAGATAGATATATTGGCTTTACATTCTCTATTATTATGATATTGGATGCATAAAAAGTCTTTTTAACCACACCAGCGTTCAGTCTTTGTCTAGTTATCAAGCTGCCTGCTTTGATGCCCCATATAGGGTAGCTTGATGTACACGTCTTTCTTAGGGGCGAGTTGGAGAGTGGGTCTTGGTGTTCCACTGACTACTTTATATTTCCTGATGAACTTGGCTGGATAATTGTTATCAACCAGAGTTTGTGTCAACTTTCTTTCTTCATCATCAAGTGTGTCTGTCTTCAGTGCATATTCTACTGAAGAGGCACCTCGCTCACTAAGGCTCTTGTGCACCGAACAGGACAGAAACTGTGGTAATTAAGATACTGTCCTGTACAGATAGGTTTTCTATAAATAGATCTTTTTATTGACCAGTCAAGCCGTCGACTAAGCAATATGTCTAGGAAAGATAAACAATTGTCTTCCTCTTCTACAGACAGATGTAAGTGATATGCTATTCTGAACTTCATTCATTCGATTTAAAATTGAGGTGGCAAAACAAGACTTATCAGTGATGATTACAATATCATCTACATACCTTCTGTAGGTATGGAAAGAAGGCAAAGTACCCGAGGATTGGAAGAAAGGATACTTATTCAAACTACCAAAGAAAGGAGACCTAAGTCAATGCAAGAAGTGGTGCGGAATTGTGCTCCTGTCCATCTCAAGCAAAATACTAATCCGCATCATCCTGGAGAGAATCAAACATGCCAGCCTGGATGAAAAACTTCGACCGGAACAGGCTGGATTCAGGAGAAACAAGTCATGCATTGATCAGATCGCCACATTACGGATCATCACTGAACAAAGCTTACAATGGCAGTCACCTCTCTATCTCAACTTCATTGACTTTGAAAAGGCCTTCGACAGCATAGATCGAGAGGTGATTTGGAAACTACTTCGCTACTACCAAGGGGTGCCACCGACAATTATACATCTCATCCAACACCTGTACGACAATGCTGCATGGCAAGTAATCCACAAGGGGAAACCTATGGAATCCTTCGAAGTGAGGACAGGAGTAAGACAAGCTGGCTGCCTACTATCGCCGATGATTTTCCTGATTGCAGTAGATTGGATAATGCAACAAACAGCGGGCAATGAGGAAACAGGCATAAAATGAACTCACACAAAAAAGAACTTGAAGGATTTGGACTTCGCCAACAATATATGTGTGATTTCCCGCAAACTGGAAGATATGCAAGCGAAAAGCAACAAGTTGGCAGAAGAAGGATCAAAGATAGGACTTCAGGTGAACATAAAGAAAACAAAGATGATGAAGATTCCTGGGCAACACCAACAGCAGCAACATACAACAATCTGCATAAATGGGACTAGGACGAAACAGCTGTCCAGTACTCCCAGGTTTTCCAGTGGTTCTCTAACTGATGTCAGCTCATGATGAAATCCTCCATACAATCAAACAAAATCCCTACCAAACCAATACTTGAAAATGATAATAATAATAATATACCTTCTCTCCTTTTAACTTGACTTAAGTAGTCTATTTTCTCACCTCTCACTTTATTAATTTCATATATACATCTTCCTATGACAAGTCCGTGTGTGATGGATCAGATTGTTCGAAATGTGTTGCGCAAATACATTGTACAAAAGAAGTGTATTAAATGATGAAATCGTTTTATAATTGGTTATGTCTATAGTAGACGACATATATATCTATCACCATCATCATCCTGCATGTGAAATGAGTTTATCACGTGTTCACCTTCATTTGCGAAAGTTTTAGTTGTTAGTTTTGTTTTGCCCCTACCCCCCCTCAGCTATCTCTCTCTTATTTGCCTATAACTCTCTCTCTCTCTTCTTTATTTTTCGATAACAGATCCTAAATTTACAATCATTGGACGTTGATGCAATTCTATCAAAATTTTGGAGATGATATGTGTGTGATATGTGGTTTTGGATGCAAACAATTTGGTGATCATGTTTCAATCAATGTCAGTTTGACATGGACAGTTGTCATGGACAGTTAGTTGTCATCGTTGTGGTTCATTCTTGTTAGCTTTGGTTATAATACATTGATCTATGAAACAATGACACTGTAGAAGCAAGCAAGCCCCCACAGATCGATGGATAGATATGGATGGAGGGACGATGGGAGAATGAAAGAGATGGTGATGAAGTGGTGATAATTATTTTTTACGATCGTGTTTTAATTTTATTTTACACGATTCACAGCTGAAACGTTGTTTAACACTGTTTTTTTTTGACTGACCCTTGAAAACGATCATGTTGTTTTTTTCAATTCAGATTTGATTTGATTTTGTTTTTTTTCTTGAGGACATATCTCACAGTTATTTTGATTATTTAATTGCATTTATCTTTTACCGGTGTGTTTGTGTGTGTGTGTGTGTGTGAGGTGGTTATGAGACCGTTTGAGTCTGAACAAAGTACAAATACTGCAAAATCATGTTGTTTTTTTATTGATTCCCAGTTGATTTTTATAGTATTATTATATTATTTCATTATTTTAATATGTTGAAAATATTATAAAGAGTTTCTTATTTTGCATTGATTTATTGAACATCTTACTTTCTAAGAAGAGAAGATGAAGAAAGTATGAAAGAAGAAGTGACATTGTCAAATTGTGGTCGATTTCAAGGATTGCAGTGAATTAGGTAGGCTGTTTAAAAGACTTCGAGCTCTCTTTCGATCGTGTCTCCAACTTTGAAATAACAGACATAATGTGATTGTTGTGTGGCCATCTGTCCTGCTAAATGTGAACTTTGACTACACTGCCTGATGACTTTTTAACCTTGCGGTCGGACCCAACTAGTGAAGCGAGATCACAGATGTTTACGATCTCTTTCTCACGTTAGGTGGTATAATAAGGTAAGTAATGTTGACGTTAGGCGTAGAGTGTCGGGCAAAGAGGGAAAATCAATCGACGAGACTATAAAGTTACATAGATTGAGATGGTTAGGTCACATGGTGCTCATGCCTAACCATCGCCTCCCCCGACAGACGGTCATTACTAGCTGATATAGGTGCAGGTTGGAAAAGAGTAAGTGGTGGCCAAACAAAAACATGGCCTCATCAATCCATGAAATCCTTGACAGTTAAACTGAGCCAGTCAGGTAGGGAGGGAGATGCAGACTTCCGGGTTGGGGCCCGCCCTCGGGACTCTAAGAATCAATGAATGGCTGGAGACAGACAATAGGTGACATGGCTCAAAGTCATCGTTGTCAATGGCTTACGCAGATGTATTCAGTCTCTGTAATCTTTCATATTCCTTTCTACCATTACTCATTCATTCTGTTTCACTCTTATACTTGTCAAAACTCTATTGATTCTCTTCACTCATCTTCTTGTCTACCTTTGTGTGGTATTTGGAAGGTGGCAACTCGAACTGGTGCACTTCGGTGCCAAGTTCTATGTTGAATCCAGACAGACAGACATCCGTTGCCTGTAAAAGCTGGTTTAGTTAAGTATCTAACAAACCGAGCAATGGCACTAAGTAGTACAATAAAAAAACCTAAAAGATGAAATGTAACAGAGAGAAGAGGTGTTGGTATCAAGTAACTATCCTATAAAATTTATTAGGAAGATCAAAAGAGGTCAAAAAGCAAAATAAAAATAATGGTGAAACTAATAATGAAAAAATAAATAAGAGAGAATATAAGGCATCTACAATTTTACCATATAAGGCCCTACGTAGGATTCTCAATAAAGCAGGAATTAGGGTGGCATTCAAACCTACAAACTCACTCAGAGACAAACTTTGTAGTTTAAAGCACCCTGTGGACCCAATTTAACAAAATAATATAATCTACAAAATACCTTACAATGACTGTGAGGTAAAACTAGTAGATCAGGAGTAGTGAGATTATTTCGACAACACACTAAGAAGACGTAGTTTATCTGAAATGTGTAATGTATTTTGCGCTACACATTTCGGACATTCTGATCACACACGTACTTGTCATACACAGTTTTATAGAAAGCATGTGAATCATTACAATACAGGTCAGATTGTGTACGAGTCAAGGTCACAAATAATGGGTAGGGAGATGATGCAAAGGTGTGGGGAAGAAAGAAAAAACAAAGCAAAGAAGGGGTTGGAAATATTATGAAACAAAATTGATCCTTGGTTCTAAATTGGATTACCGAGGCTGGTTTAAAGTAATAACAAATAACTTTTAGGCACATAAGACAGGTTTAAGTCTTTTTATGGCCAAGGCTTCAACGAATTTAAGTATGTGACCCAACTTTGAGTTATATATGGGCTTAAAGGCATTGTTTTCTCTATAACGTGCTTCACTATAGATGATGTTGGGCATCTGTTTCCGGGATCACTTGTATCTGGCAATTTTATTTGTTGTTGCAGCCACTTTGGAATATGTTCTGTAGCCCTAACCTGCAGAGACCGATGGGTCCTCCCTATGTACGTGTGTCCACACATACGTGGAAATTGATAAACACAATGGGATGTGACACTATCATTTGGATACTGTGAGGGCTTACAGGATAGCATAGTTCTCCTTTTGACTATAACGATAAGTTTAACTGCATAATAAGTTCTATTAATCGCCGCCTTGAGTCTTTGTTTAGTGACCAGACTTCGCTGATCACTCCTGAACGGCAAAGATATATAAACATCCTTGTTAGGATCTGTTTGGATTGGCAGAGCTTTGTTTGACACTTCTATAACGCCGTCCAATGTTCACCCAGAAACTCAAAGATGTCTTACCTAACCTTAACTCTTCTTCATATATATACCATTTCAACTGTTCCCGTGGTTCAAGATATATAGGGCGCATGATCAGGCAGTTTCGTCTACGGGTTCGAGAAAATTTACCAGCTTGGTTCAGCAGGGGAGGGAGGAAATTGAGTGCATAAAAAGCTCGATCCTGTCGCACTTGGTCGATACTGGACATCATGTCGATGTCAACACAGCCTTCAGGGTTTTATACCGAATTCCGAAGTTGTTAGCACTTACAGTTTGCTTGCGTCTGCTACACATAGCTGAAGCTGTTGCAATAAGATCGACTAAACTGGAGTTTTGTATCGAAACAGAACACATCCAGATGCTGTTCCTACGGTGGCCAAAGTGGGATTGATGATTCTTCTCACCAAGAGTGCTTCTTCCCCTTAACCCTCTTGATTTTTTCTTTCTTTGCTTATTATTACAATTATTATTATTCGTCATAATATATACCCATCATGCACACATTCTCCCGATACCATCGAATTTTCCATTTATACTATCGGGACTTATTATTAGCGATATTATCTATTTTTTCAATATATGCCTCCATCTGTTTCATTTCACACATTCGTTATTTCATGATGAACTTCTCATTGCGGTCTTACTATCTCCTCTTTAATACATGCCACTTTGTACTAGCCACTCAGTCATCTGACACCTTTTATAACCTTGAACTGACTTGTCAATTTTCCTATCCCACACTCAACAAATCTATTATGACGACTGATCACCACCATTGTCTCCCATTTTACCGAAATATTTTGTAATCGATTTCAGCCTACTAGCACGTTTGTCACACAAATACTATTTAATCTGACACCGTATAACTAATCTGTTATTCTACGTTATAAAGTGTATCCACCACATAACTGGCCATTGTTGTAACGACAAGAAATACTATTGTATTTTATATTTATAAGATCCTGAAGAGAATATTCTTCGTTTTAATAATAATGATCACTTTATTCCAAGCAGTAATATATATATATATATATATATATATATATATATATAGAATGGAATTTTCAGCGTTTTTATACATGTTACAACAATTTAGCTCCTTTTAATTGTGCGTCGGTGGCACAGTGGTTAGGACTCTCGCCGACACCATGCACATGGTCCGAGGTTCGGTACTCTGCCGACGCACACCTGATATCTACGGTCGGCCTGCAAAATTTGGGCTACCTATATCACATGCTGAAAATTCCATACCTGTCCCGTCTCTGGCGTAGACGCGATATCCGACTATCGACCAAAGGGCGTGTGGACTGCTCAACTGTCCGTCCTCCTTTATGGCTGTGAGACCTGGCCATTGAGAGTGGAAGACATGAAAAGATTAGCTGTCTTTGATCATAGGTATCTGCGTTGTATCTCCCGTGTGAAGTGGTATAATAAGGTGAGCAATATTGAGATTAAGGCGTCGAGTGCTAGGTAAGGAGGGGAAATGAATCGACGAAACTGTGAAATTACATCGACTTAGATGGTTAGGACATTTGTTACGTATGCATCCCTAGTCATCGCCTTCCTCGACAATGGGCAATGTTAGCTGATATAGGGTCAGGCTAGAAAAGAGTTAGCTAGCGGTGGTCAAACGAAAACATGGCACCAGTCAATGAAATCTACAACAGTTAGTCTAATCCAGCCACGTAGGAAGGTGTAGACTTCCTGACTGGTTGGGGTCCTCGGGACGGTAAAAACCAATGGTTGGAAACAATTGGTGACATGGCTCAAAATCGTTCTCAATGGCTGGCGCAGATGCATCCACTCCTTATGACTTATGAATTCCAATTAAACTGTTTTGTTCTTCGTTATTACTACTCCTTTGTCTCACACCTCTGTTTACTGTCTATATTACTATGCATTTCTCCTACTTTCTTGTGTTGCTTTGTGTGCTACAAGGAGGGAGTGTGGCGATTTGAATTGCCGCACATATGTGCTAAGTTCTATGCCGAAAACCGACCGACCAAAAAAATACGGTGTGGAATCAAGCTGTAATCAAAATAAAAGTATGTACATACATAAAATTTAAAATAGTAATAATAATAATAATGATAATAGACAGAATGTTGGTGGATATACAATGGAGTATAAGTAAGTAGCACTATGGATAATACATGCAATAATAATAATCTTTGCTTATACT